AAGGGGGTTGAGGAGTCACCTTCAGAACCCGCGCGTTGGGCATGTATGTGTACAGACAGCCGATGGGTGCCATTGTTGTGCTGGATGGTTGGTTGGTGGTTGGAAGTTTGGAGTGGGCGCAGTCGGCGGAGACGCGGCGGGATTATATACCTGCTGGTTGAAACTCGCTGCCTCCGAAGGAAGTGAGATTACTAGTACTGGGGGAGCTAAAAGGCTTTGCAATGAATTTAAGAATATCTGCAGTGATTAGAGCTAAGTCAAAAGATGTTATGCGACAGAAGACTTAACACTAGAAATAAATTTCGTAATCTGGGACATAGAGGCTGAAAGCTCCGAAGGACAATCGGCTACTTTCCACCACCGTCACAAACGCACCGAACCACTATCTAGACACAGTCCCCCGCTTGATCTCAAACTGCTCATCCAACCAGGCAAACATCTTCTGGTGAAACACCGCCCACGCCCCGATCTTGGCCTGCAGCCCACCCCCCTCGACCCCCTTCCCGACCCACAACCGCCTCTTCTGCGGCGGGAGATGCCCCAGCGCCTCGAAGATCGGCTCCGTATTCTGCTTTGGCGTAAAGTAGAATGTATCCGCCGCCCCCGTCACAAACGTACTGCACTTGACCTTCTGCAAAAATCCCCTGGCGTGGTACTGCTGCATGCAGCGCATCACCTCCGCCGGCGTCTCCACCCCATACACCCACATGCTGTGGCCGAACTCCCATCGCAGCTGGAAACTCCACCCGGCCAGTCTATTGACCACCCAGTTGAAGAACCCGTCGCTGAGCCGCCCGCCCAGCCACCCATTGATAAACCACCCGGGCATGCGACTGCGCGTCACGTCGAAGAGATCGTAGCACGCATCGCACGAGACGCACGCCCGCACGCGCGGGTCCGCCGCCGCCCGCAGAGCAAAATACCCGCCCAGCGAGGCGCCGACCACTGCCACCCTCTCCAAGTCGATCGGATAGTCCTTAGCCAGCTGGCTCTCCACCACATCCAGCACTTTGGTCGTCACGTGCTCCCAGTCCGGGCGCAGCCGCAGCCCGTCGCGGCGGAGGCAGATGCCCTGGCCCGGTCCCTCGAAGGTGAGCACCGCGTAGCCGCGCGGAAGTGCAGCCGCCGGCCCGAAGAAGTACAGTTCCTCCTGCGTCGAGTCGAACCCACCGGTCATGATGAGGAGCGGCAGCTTGCCTTTGCCTTGGCGTTGGCCTTGGCCTGCTTGCGCGGCACCCGACCGAGGGAGATACAACCTGCCCGGCAGCGGCGCAGCCCCCTTCTCCTCCTCGTACGGAATCTCCACCCGCGCCACCGTGCATGTATCCAGCAGATCCACCCCCTTGTCGAACACGGCGACACTATGCTCGATCGCCGCCAGCAAGCGCGGGTCGTCCGGCCGGGTGTGCAGGAAGAACTCGCTGGCGCGGAAGTAGTTGCTGGCGCGCAGGTAGGCCCCCGAGGCGGCGAGCGTGTCCCCGGAGACGAGCGCCTCGTCGCCCAGCCCCCGCGCCTGCTGCGCCTGCGCCGTCCACGCCCGGTACCACGCCTCGGCGTCCCCGTCTGCCACTTGCGGGAGCACCGCCAGGCACTCGCCTGTCTCGGCCCCGCCGGCGGGCGCGCTGGCCAGCACTCGGAGGAACTCGAAGTGGAAGAAGTCGGATGGGTAGAATTTGAACATTGCGGTAGTTGTCTGGATGAGAAGGATGCTGCAAGAGGTGGGAAGTTGAGATGGGGGGTTAAGAGGCGGGCAAGGCTGGCCGGGAAGGGGAGTTCGGCTGGTCGGCGACTTTGTTGGCGCCGACCGGGAGGATTGGAGGGAATTGTATACGTATACGTATACTTCATAAAATGGGTTGTCTTGGGTCGGACGACAGAGAACAGAACCAGATAGACTGTGATATATCTATACCTCACCCTCAACGACATTCCCCTTTCATTCTTTGTCTTTCTTTTCAACAACTAGACACACACTCGCACACACCATGACGCTCCCCCACTCCGCCACCACCACCACCACCACCAGCAGCACCAGCACCGGCACCCCCGAGCCCATCGCCATCGTGGGCATGGGGTGCCGCTTCCCGGGCGGGGCCAACACCCCCAGCAAGCTATGGGATCTTCTCTGCGCCAAGCGCGACGTGCAGCGCCGCATCCCGACCGAGCGGTTCGACGTCGACGCCTTCTACGACCGGGACGGCGAGCGGGCGGGCTGCCTCAACGTGCGCGAGGCCTACACGCTGGACGAGGACATCCGGCAGTTCGACGCGGCGTTCTTCAAGACGAACGCGCTCGAGGCCGAGGCGATGGACCCGCAGCAGCGCCTGCTGCTGGAGACGGTGTACGAGGCGCTGGAGTCGGCGGGCGGGGTGATGGACGAGCTGCACGGCTCCGACACCGCCGTGTATGTGGGCGTAATGACGGGCGACTACCACGAGCTGCTGCTGCGCGACCCGGAGGACATGCCCAAGTACATGGCCACCGGCACCGCGCGGAGCATCCTGTCGAACCGCATCTCGTACTTCTTCGACTGGACGGGCCCCTCCATGACCATCGACACCGCCTGCTCGTCCAGCCTGGTTGCCGTCCACGAGGCCGTCCAGGCCCTCCGCCAGGGCCGCTCCGCCCTCGCCTGCGCCGCCGGCGCCAACCTCATCCTCGGCCCCGAGATGATGATCTCCGAGTCCAAGCTGCACATGCTCTCGCCCACCGGCCGCAGCCGCATGTGGGACGCCGCCGCCGACGGCTACGCCCGCGGCGAGGGCTTTGCCGCCGTCATGCTTAAGACGCTGAGCCAGGCGGTCGCGGACGGCGATTATGTCCATGGCGTTATCCGCGAGACCGGCGTCAACTCCGATGGACGTGAGTACCCTTCTTTCCCTCCCCATAGCTTTGTTCTTTTTGTTTGTAAGGGTGGTCCGGGGATAAGGCTTCCCGGGGGAGAACCCCCGGACCCCCCTTCTTTTCAGCTTCCTGGTTACACTCGACCCCAGTCCTAGAATGCGGGTTTAAAGCTGAAAAGAACGGGGGCCCGGAGACCCCCCGGGACGTGGCTATCCCAAGACTGAGGACTGAGTGTAGCCAGGAAGTTGAAAGAAAGGGGGGTCCGGGGGTTCTCCCCCGGGACGTCTTATTCTCGGCCTTTGCATTGCGGTTTAGTGGGAAGCCTTGTTCCAGAAGGCTAATGGAAGTACAGGGACGAACGGAATCACCCTCCCCGGAGCAGACTCACAGACGGCGTTAATTCGGCAGACGTATGCACGCGCCGGGCTGGACATCGACTCCCAGCGGTGTCAGTACTTCGAGGCCCACGGGACGGGCACCCCGGCCGGAGACCCTATCGAGGCGCGTGCGATCTACAATGCATTCTTTGCCGCGTCCAGCGAACAGGCAGGGACGCCGCTGTACGTCGGGTCGGTGAAGACGGCGGTCGGCCATCTCGAGGGCACAGCTGGCCTGGCGGGGCTGGTCAAGGCCGTCGAAGCTGTCCGGCGCGGGGAAATTCCTCCCAACATGCTGTTCGAGTCGCTGAACCCGGAGATCCAGCCGTTCTACCACCGCCTCGCTGTTCCGACGGAGACGATTCCATGGCCGCAGGTGCGGGAGGGAGAGCCGCGTCGCGCGAGTGTGAACTCTTTCGGTGCGTTTCTTCGAGTGTGCAACAGGATAAAACGTGCTAATGTAACCAGGCTTCGGCGGAACCAATGCGCACGCTATCATCGAGTCGTACGACAACCCACATCGACGTCCGTCAACTTCTACATCCTCCCTCTGCACACCCCTAGTCCTCTCCGCCAACTCGGAGACCTCGCTGCGCGGGCAAATCGAAGCTTTCCACACATTCCTCTCCACCACCGACACCTCCATCCACGACATCCTCTACACCCTCCAGACCCGGCGCTCGCAGCACCCCGTGCGCGCCACCTTCTCGGCCCCCGACCGAGAAACCCTCAGCACAGCCCTCTCCAAAGCCGTCGCCAGCGACTCCACCCTCGGAACCCGCGTCGACAAGAAACCTGCGAAGCCACGGATCCTGGCCGTCTTCACGGGCCAAGGCGCGCAATGGCCGACGATGGGCCGGGAGATCCTGCGCGGCTCCCCGCTCGCCCAGCAAACCCTCTCCACCCTGCAATCCGCCCTAGACGCCCTCCCCGACGGGCCCGACTGGTCTCTGTCCACCGAAATCCTCGCCGACAAAGACACATCGCGTCTCGCCGCAGCCAGCGTGGCGCAGCCCCTCTGCACGGCCGTGCAGATCCTCCTGGTGGACCTCCTCCGCCAAGCCGGGCTCACCCCCAGCGTCGTGGTCGGCCACTCCAGCGGCGAGATCGCCGCCGCGTACGCCGCGGGCATGATTACAGCGGCGGAGGCGATCCGCATCGCGTACTACCGCGGGGTGCACGCGGCGCTGGCGCGCGGGCCGAACGGCCAACGCGGCGCGATGATGGCGGTGGGGATGTCGTACGACGAGGCGACGGAGTTCTGCGAGGAGAGCTTTGCCGAACGGATCGAGGTGGCGGCCAGTAATGCGCCCAGCAGCGTGACGCTATCCGGGGATGAGGATGCAATCGCCGAGGCGAAGGCGATTCTGGAATCGCGGGGCGTCTTTGCGCGACCGCTGCGCGTCGATACCGCGTACCACTCCGCGCACATGATCCCGTGCTCCGAGCCCTACCTCGACTCCCTGGCGGCGTGTGAGATCGCCCCCCAGCAGGCGCGGGAGGGCTGTGTGTGGGTGTCCAGTGTGCACGGCGCGCGGATGGAGGGATACCGCGTCGACGCGCTGACGGGGGAGTACTGGAACGACAACATGGTCAGTCCGGTGATGTTCTCCACCGCCGTGGAGATGGCCCTCAGTGAGGAGGAGGTGTGCGACGTGGCGGTCGAGATCGGCGCGCATCCCGCCCTCAAGGGCCCCTTCACCCAGACCGCTAAGCAGGTGGCAGCAGCAGCAGCAGCAGCAGCAGCATCGGGTGCGGCACCGCTCCCCTACAGCGGGACCCTGAGTCGCGGACAGCACGACCTCGAGGCCCTCAGCGAGACGCTGGGGTTCTTGTGGACGCATCTCGGGGCCAAGGCGGTCGACTTCGCGGCCTACACCTTGGCCTTTACCGACGCCCTCCCGCAGTGGGTGCCCGACCTGCCGCGGTACAGCTGGGACCACCGCCAGTCCTTCTGGCGCGAGTCCACCAAGTCCGCCAACTTCCGGTCGCGGCCCCCGCGGCACCCGCTGCTAGGGGTGCGGTCGAGCGAGGATCTCGACCAGGAGATGCGGTGGGCGATCACGCTCCGCACGCAGGAGCTGCCCTGGCTGGAGGGCCACAAGGTCGAGGGGCAGGTCATCTACCCCGCGGCCGCGTATCTGGTGATGGCGATGGAGGCGGCCCACAGCCTGGTGGGCGAGGGCCAGAGCGTGCAGGTGCTGGAGCTGTGCGACGTGGAGATCGCCAACGCCATCCCGCTGCCCGAGGACGGCAAGGGGGTGGAGGTGCAGTTCACCCTCGTGCCGTCCCCGGGCCACTCCAAATCCGCGACCAAGACGGCGCAGTGGGCGTGCTACGCCCGCACCGCGGGGTCCGGCAAGTCCTCGTGGCGCAGCAACGCGCGCGGCACCGTGCGTGTCGTCCTGGGCTCGGCCGCGGCCGCGGACGCGGACGACCTCCTCCCCCCGCGCAACCCGCCGACCGGGGTGTTTCACGAGGTGAAAACAGACCGGTTCTACGAGGCCCTCACAGCCATCGGGCTGCACTACACGGGCCCCTTCCGGGGACTGGACAACGTACAGCGCCGATCCGGGACGGCCATGGCGACTGTTACGCAGATCCCGGCCGCGGAGCTGGGCGTGCCCATCCACCCGGCTGTTCTGGACGCGGCCTTCCAGACGCTGTTCGCAGCCTACTGCTGGCCGGAGGACGGGAGCCTGCGCGCGCCGTTCGTGCCGACAGGTCTGCAGAGTCTGCGGATCGTCAACCGCGACATCGTGCAGGCCAGCGCCCAGCTCACGGTCGACGCGTGCATCACCCACTCGTCGGGGACGACCATCATCGCGGACCTGGACCTGACCAGCCCCAACCCCACCAACGCGGGCCTCATCCAGCTGCAGGGGCTGCGGTGCTCGAGCCTGACGCCGCCGGGCCCAAGAGACTACAAAGAGCTGTACACGCAGACGGCGTGGGAGGTGGATGTATCCAGCGGGCTGGCGCCGCTCTCCACCCTCAGCTCAGCCGACTCCCCCACGGACCTCGCCCTGGTGGACCTCAGCGAACGCCTAGCCTACTACTACCTCCGGCACCTCAACACGACCATCCCGCGCTCCGCGGTCCCGCACATGGAATGGCACCACCAGCGCATCTTCGAATGGATCGACCACCTCTTCCCGCTCATCGGCGCCGGCAAGCACCCGACCATCCGCGCCGAATGGTCCACCGACACGAAACCCCAGCTCCTCGCCCTCGCCTCCCAGTACCCTTCCTCCGTCGACCTAGAACTCATCCGCGCCGTCGGCGAGCACCTCCCCGCCGTCGTCCGCGGCGAAGCCTGGATGCTGGAGCACATGGTGGCGAACGACACGCTGGACCGGTTCTACAAGTCCGGGCTGGGGTTTGCCCGGGCGAACGGGTACATGGGCCGGGTGGCAGGGCAGATCGCGCACCGGTATCCGCGGGCGAGGATCCTGGAGATCGGGGCGGGGACGGGCGGCGCCACGAAGGGGATTCTCGAGGCCCTCGACGGGAGGTTTGAGAGGTATACGTTCACCGATATCTCGACGGGGTTCTTCGAGGCCGCCGCTGCGCAGTTTGAGCGGTGGGCCGGGAAGATGAGCTACCGGGCGTTGGATGTGGAGAAGGAGCTTGGGGCCCAGGGGTTTGAGGAGGGTGGGTTCGATGTTATTGTCGCGTCGAATGTGCTGCACGCGACCAAGTCGCTGCGTAGAACGATGGAGAATGTGCGGCGGTTGTTGAAGCCGGGCGGGTTTTTGTTGTTGTTGGAGGTGACGAGTGAGATTGTTAGGGTCAAGTTGATGATGGCGGGGCTGCCGGGGTGGTGGTTGGGCGGCGAGGATGGCCGGCGGTATGGGCCCACGATCACGGTGGGGCAGTGGGATGCTCTGCTCAAGGAGACGGGGTTCGCCGGCGTCGATCATGTGGTGAATGATTTTGTGGACGAGCGCAAGTATATGACCTCGGTTATGGTGACGCAGGCCGTGGATGCGGATGTGCGGGTGCTGCGCGAGCCGTTGAACGCGGGCTGGACGCTGCCGCCGGTCACGGTTGTTGGGGGCCAGAAGGGGCTGGCGGGGCAAGTTGTCGAGGCCCTCGGAGGTGCGGGGGGTGTTCAGCTGGTCGAGAATCTGGAAGGGTTGTTTGTGCGGCCTGATGTCGCGGTCACCTCGTTGGTGATGCTGGAGGACTTCGATCGCCCTGTGCTGGAGGACTTTACTCCGCGCAAGTTGGAGGCGCTGCAACGCGCCCTCCCCGAGTGCAGGCAGCTGCTCTGGGTGTCCGGCCAGTGCCGCGAGCAGAACCCCTACGGCAACATGGCCATCGGGCTGTGTCGTGCGATCGCGGCCGAGCAGCCGCACATCCAGTTCCAGCACCTCGACATCGAGGACGCGGTGGATGCAGGCGCCGCGAAGGCTGTGGCGGAGGCGCTGGTGCGGTTGGTCTTCGCCTCGCAGACGCGTCTGGCGACCAAGAACGTCTTGTGGACCTGCGAGCCGGAGCTGGTGCGCGAGAATGGACAGTGGTTCGTGCCGCGGATCGTTCCGGATAAACGACTTAACGACCAGCTGAATGCGCGGAAGATGATTGTGCAGGGCACAACGACATCCGAGGAGACGCTCGAGCTGGTGAAGCAGGCGGATCGGTATGTGCTGTCGCCTGCGTTGCCGCCGGTTGTGGAGAAGGATGGTGCGGTGGAGGTCAAGGCAACGCACGCGCTGGTGAATGCGGTGCAGCTGGATCAAGGCTCGGCTTGTGTGGTGTCTGGAAACCTGGTGAACAAGCCTGATGTCCAGGTTGTCGCATTCACCAACTCGGTGGGTTCGGTGGTCACTGTATCAGAGGAGATGGTGTTTGCGGCTGATAACGCCAGCCCGTCGCTGCTGCAGACAGTTGCCTTCGGGCTCGTCGCTGATGAGTGGCTGCATGGCTTGTCATCGTCGGATGTACTGGTTCTCCACCAGGCTGATGAGCAACTGGGCCGTGTGCTGAGGAGCAAGGCTGCGGAAGCCGGTGTGAAGGTGGTTGACGTCCGCACGCATGCCTATGCCTCCGAGCGCAGCATCCGCGCACAGATCCCGCCCTCAACCAAGCTCCTCGTCGACTTCGCCGAGTCTTCCGTGCAGTGGGAGCGTATTATCCCGGCGCAGTGTAAGGTTCGGAGTTATGGCGATGCCATCGCGCCTGGAACCAGCACCGCCAACACCGCCAACTTGAACACCTCCCAACTGCCAAGGGCTGTCTCCTGGGCGCAGCAGCAGCCCGACGACGCCACCCTCGAGACAATCCCGGCTGCAGAGCTGGCCAACACACCCACTCCTCCCTACCACGCTATCGTCTCTTTCTCCCCCTCCACAACCATCCCCACCATCACGCGCCCCATCAACCCAGCCCTCCTCTTCCGTCCCGACAGAACCTACCTGTTGGTGGGCTGCACCGGCGGCCTCGGCCAATCGCTGTGCAGATGGATGGTCCTCAACGGCGCGCGCCACCTAGCCCTAACCACCCGGAACCGCACGCGCATCTCGACCACCTGGCTAGCTGACCTCTCCCAACTAGGCGCCAACGTACGACTCTTCGAAGCCGACGTCGCCGACATGGGCTCACTCACCACCGTCCACCAGACCATGACGGCCAGCATGCCCCCCATCGCCGGCATCGCCAACGCGGCCATGGTGCTCTCCGACCGCTCCTTCGGCGAACTCAAACACACCGACTTCACCACCGTCTTCGGCCCCAAGGTCCAAGGCACGAAGAACCTGGACACGCTCTTCCACTCCCAAAAGCTCGACTTCTTCATCATGTTCTCCTCGCTAGCCAGCATCGTCGGCAACCGGGGCCAGAGCAACTACGTCGCGGCCAACCTATTCATGTCGACCGTCGCGGCGCAGCGGCGGGCGCGCGGGCTCGCCGCGTCCGTGTTCCACATCGGCATGGTCCTGGGGGTGGGGTACGTCAGCACCACGGGGGTGTACGAGACGACTCTCCGACAGTACAAGTACATGCCGATCGCCGAGCCCGAGTTCTGGGATATGTTCGCGCAGGCGATCGTCATCGGCCACCCGACCCTTGGCGGGGGCCATGCGCCGGAGATGATCACGGGGTTGCATCGACACAGTCTCCGCGAGGAGGCGGGGAAGGCGTTCTGGGCGGAGAACCCGCGGTTCAGTCTGCACACTGTACAGGAGGAAAGCCAGGCGGTGGTGGGGGATGCAGCGACGGCCAAGCAGGTCCCGCTGGCGGAGGCGGTCGCCGAGGCCGGCACGTTGGAGGCGGTGGACGGCGTCATCCAGGAGGCGTTCGTCGGGAAGATGGAGCGGATGCTGCAGGCGGCCAAGGGGTCGATCGAGCGCGGTCAGCCGCTGATCAATCTGGGGGTGGACTCGTTGATTGCCGTGGAGATCCGGTCGTGGTTCCTCAAGGAGTTGGAGGTGGACATGCCGGTGCTCAAGCTCGTGGGCGGCATGTCCGTCGGCGAGCTGTGTCGGGAGGCGGCGGGTGAGGTGCTCAAGAGTTTGCCTATCAAGGTGTGATTGTGCCCCTGTATATATTGGGTTGTTGTGTGGACTCTGCAATGGACCATTTGCGATAAATGTTATCTGGTGTGTAACATATGCAGGGGTCGGAGAGGGGGAAGCGCAGTAGTTTCAGGATTCTTTCTTGCGCATAGGCTGTGGGCAAGAGGAGCTGGACAGCTATTTTGCAATGATCACTGTAGTAAATCGAGCGACATGTTAAGCTATATTCAAGATTGTTACCGAAAATGACGGAGGGTTCCGGACTCCTTCCGATGTGCAGAGCATGCATATTAGCCCTCCAATCTTTTTCGTGGCAAAGAATGTGAAGATATTATCTCCCGCGAAAGGCGAAGGAATGCATGGAGGTTTGTGTCCACTAAGATCACTGATAGATCTTCTTGGGTTTAGGGTAGGTACATCTACATGTAGAAAAAGACTTGAACATAGTTACTACTGCAGTTACAGTACCTCGCTAGCCAGGGAGTTTTGTTTTTCTAGAGTCTCTTAGCTGCTATATGCTTTTGGAGGTAAGAAGCAGCCTGGTGAGGACGGCCAACAGAAGAATGTGGAGACCCGGTGAGTCGCTTATTGCCAGAGCATGACAACCTGCTGTTGCCTGATCCTCCTGGCACAATCCTTCCGAACGTGCTCCTTGAAGAGAGCTGCCAACAGATGGCTGTCTACTTGAGAATTACTCGCACAAACGTGGGTGTCCCAAAGAGACATATCGTTAACCGTAGAGACATCCTTTCATCCACTTAAACCTTGAACACTCATTAAAAATCCCTTGCCAACTTCTATTCATTGATCAGTGCAAAAGACAATCACCCGAGACCGTTCAAAATGGGAGAAGAAGAAGCGATCGTCGCCATCGTCTGCACTGCAGACATACCCATCTTAGTAAACATCTTGATCCTTTATTTGCTATTACACACGTCAACTAATCATGATCTTCAAAAAAAGGAACATCAAAGACCATGAACTCCATCCTCGCCGCATCGGACAACTTCGCGAGCGCATCCAACAGCTGACCAGACACTCCACCATACAAGGTCACGTCGATGAGGGGCTTGTCTCCCCCTTCGTGGTATGACACCCACCGAGGTCGTCCACTTACTCGCCGAGAAAGCTCAAAACACCGTCAACAGCGAGTTCCACGTCTACATCGCGGACGAGCGCACCATCCTCGACCAGACACTGCTCCTGGGCGGGTTCGAGGGCCACGAGATTCAGGCGACGGTGCGGGTTGCGCCCGAGTACCTGGACATCCAGGCGGTGAATCTGGTCACCTGGAACATGGATGTCGTGTAGATGAAGGAGATAGCTGAGGGCGCGGGCGGTGTGTTCAGGTATTAGATCAGGTTACGGGTTCATGCATGACATGAACGCACTAAGTTTGAGGTCTCGTCAGTCCAGAGATGGCTTTGCCAGTTGGTGGCTTTGTGTAACCGGGATCTATTACCCTGGACCTGGGGATTGAGAATGTCACGCACCATCTCCATCTTGATATGGTACTTTCCTTGTGGATTGTTGGCAGGCTGAAACAAGTAATCCCACTCGGGCTACATGGCTGGTGCTTCCGGGAAGCTGCATAGAAAGGAGTCGTAGTCTAGACCCGTATAATGGTGCTACATCTACGTTCATCACAGTGTTAGGGTAGTCTTACTAAGCGTTCTCAACACTTAGTATAGCCATAGTTCTTACAAAGACGCGTGAGTCGATCGGTATCGTCACTAGAGCTATAATCATATAATTCTAGGCTTAATCGGCATGCGCAACATCTTGCAACAGATGAAGCAGCTTTGTATCGCTATTTCAGGGCATACGCCGCCGCAATCTCAGGTCGATCTCACACAGCAATCCTATCAGCAGAAAAATATCTTCTCAACAGTGCTTCATCCTCAGATAGCCACAATCACCCCAGACCACTAAACCAACCTAACGCAAAAAGAGGCGACCCCACGCCATCCCCACACCCCCAGAGCACAGCACACGAGAAACCTCTCCATCCCAGACAACCCCGCGACCCTCACGACCCATCCAAACTCAAACCCCCAGCTCTACAGAATCCGTAAAGCCGACCTCTCTCTCTCTCGCTCCTCACCAAATGCACCCACCAAACCAAATCAAACCACCGAACGGGAACTCGAACCGACATAGTAGGACCACATGGAAAGGGGATACGATCTGTGCTGTTAGAACGTTCGTCAAACGTTCCAGGCCACCTTTTTCTCGCCGCAAAACAAACCATTGAGACAAGACACAGCTCTCAGCTTCCCCCTCGGGGAGAGGTTCTTATCTCGTTTGTTTGATTCCCAGCAACTTCCGCGTATCTCTTGGCTCGGTCCATGGTAGCTAAGCATGAAGCCAAGACCAGTTGTATATACTCACCTTTTGGGCGCGGAGTTTGGTGTGTTGTGGGGCAGGCATGGCCTGTTGGCTTTATGCGCCAACGCTCGTATACATTGTTGAGAGTCTAGATCAAGGCATACTTGATCGAAGTTATAAGTCTGGTTGAACCGTGAAGATCAGGGCAGCTAGGGGCGGGAGGCTTCTCATACTGCTTTCCGGAAGGATGAGTATGGTGGGAGTCACCTCTAGTTGCTTGGGAGGGGGAAAGACTTTTTGTGGAGATGGAAGGGCATAATATATCGTGAGGAGGGCGATTCTCTGAGGGATTTCCATTGTTTGTATAAGGGTGGTCGTCCGTTGCTGGGTTTGTTTTGAATGGATTGTTAGGGATCTGGACAACGGAAGAGATTGTTACAAAGGACTTTAAAGGAAAAGTTCTAGATAGACGAACGGAGCTCAAAGAACTGGGTGGAATGTCCTATTGTATGGGCAAAAGGCTCCGCAAAATGAGTTTGCCGATGAAATCCCTGGAGGAGTTTGAATCACAGAGCAGCTTAGATTCCTTGTAATGTGCATGGGATGTCGGTAATCGTCCTGGACTCTAGAAGAACAAGGGCCATCAGACACCTGTGCCTGAGGATATGATTATCTATGCTATGGGCGCTTTATGGGGCATTAGGATGTCGCCACTCATTTGCGCCGAGTATTGCTTACTGAGTGAACTATAATCACTGGCGAAAGCGAAGTGACTTAAGAGGCAAGGGGTGGACGATACTGGTCGATGACTTGCAGCTGAAAGAACAAAACATTCCACAACGGACGAGTGAAACCCGAAGGCAAGAGATGCATTGATGCCCCATAGGAGGTATCCGTCAATGTAGAGCTAACAGACCTTTTCTCCGGGGAATAAGATGCCAGACCCTGGCTGTCTGACGGCTATCGGACGATGGCTACCAGACCTGGCCAACAACGAGCGCGTCCAAAGCAGAAGAACAATCAAAAATCCTAATACTTCCCAGAACCGCTGTCAATCTTCCACCTCATCAGAGAAAGCGTCGCAAAGTCCCCGTCAAATTCTACAGAGACAACAACTTTCTCATCTCGCCACAGGCGGATCGGCATGCTATTGCCAAGCTTGTCGAACACGTAGGCGCTAAGCGTATTTCTTTCCGACAGCAACCCGGCTAGCAGAGATACAAGGTGGCTGTCTTCAGCCTCGCCAATGCAAGAGTATTTCGTCAGGGCTGAAAATTTGTCACGAGTCTGCAAATTCACAAAGGAAATCGTCCGGAAGTCGCCGTCAAACTCTTCCCAGACCCAATGGTACTTTGTGTGAACCCGCAGATGAATCTGTATACTATTGCCACTACGGTCGAACACAGCCATTGCCAGATCCCTCTTTACCGAAAAGCACGCGGACAAAAGTGATAATTCGTCATCGTCATCAGCCTCCTCATTCAGACTCTCCTCACGAGCCCGAGCCAGCGCGTCATCCCGATTACGTAGTTCCGCCCTCAGCTCTTCCAGCGACAGCGTCTGGCGTATGTTCTCCAGCTCATAATATGGCGGCCCACGACGATCCCACTGCCATACAATATCGTCAACAGAGTTGACATCACGAGGACCTGGATTCTCGGCCTCGGGCAAACGCGTGGCCCGGAAACTCATCGTCCCTGGACCAGGCCACCCGGATCCCTACATGAACCCAAACTCACCCTCGAGTGTCTTTGTCCAGGGGTTGATCCACATCTCGCTAGGGATACAGCTGGTCTCCTCCCGACCCCAGCCATCATCCTCGGCCCAGCCCATCCATTCAACCGGCAACGATGGACTAAAGCCGGTGGCCGGGTCACACTGCTGGATCGTAAAGGCTGGATCGACCAGGAAGACGCCCTCGAGGGGCCTGAATGTAAAACTCCCCCAGAGCCGATCGTAGTCCCATAGCAGCCAGAGGCGGAGACTAGCGCCTAGCCATGGGCACTTGTCGATGCGAACCTCGTAGAGGCCTTGGATGCTACGGAGAGCGTGGAGGTCGCTTGCAGAGATGGGGAGGACGTTGAGCCAGGCGTTCTCCTCGAGGAATTTGCGCGTGTGTGCCTGCTGCGCGCGGTGGAGATCAATCGTTGCGGGGATGGGCATGGGCGTATTCCATGCTGTGATCGAGGGATCTTGCATCGCGTTTGTAGCTGAAGGAGAGATGCAGAAAGGGGCAAGCCTTAGTGGGGGTCTTGTTTCTGACAGGGAAAAAAGGGGGTGGGTGTCAGGAGGAAAGGGGGGATGAAGAAACCTTGGAGTTGATTTTTTCGACAGAACAGGCGGCAGAAGGTGCGACGACGGCCCTTAGAACTTAACATGCCTCGCTCTCACATAATGACCTCGTAGCTCCTGATATTTCCGGACCTGCTTCAGAATGCCTTATAGCAAAGAGGATGACGGAATGTTACTCGACACGGAATCGGTTTCCGTATGCGCGGCCTCATCAAAATAGGCACTGCTGCTGCCCGGCACTCTCAAGGAGGTGTTAGCCTACGGAGGTACTCTTGCGAGACATACCAATATCCACAACACGGTCAAGTCTATACTCTACTGGAATATATGACACATCTTCTGTCAATGCTGCGTTTTGGCTGTTCCCGGAGAACGTGGTTTTGTACGATAGCCTAGGAGAAGAACTTGGAGAGCTACGAGGTCTCAATTGCCGAAACGCTTATGTCTCTTCTCAGACTCTGCAGAGCCAACAATAACGTTTCAAAGATTGTACAGGAGCTCCGAAACAAGAAAAAATTGAGACTTCAATCTCATCAACGCTATATTGTCAATCACTTGTGGCGGATCCTCTACTGGCTTGGCGAGCACCCAAGCGCAGATAGACACCACGGGGACTCAAGAAAGTGGATTCTCCGCGAATGAGAGAAAGATGGCTCCACCAGAACGACAAGCAATTGCCACATTCGCCCCCGAATTGCGCATGTCAGATTTACTGCGCGGTCGATATTGCCAGGGCAACCACAGCAAATTGTCTCCGTTCCAAGTAATCCAAGAATTATCCAAGGAGATCCCATACCCAACTGGTATCCACGGGCTGTTCTCGGTAGCGTCGTGGAGACAGCCGATACCCTTCAAATCAAAGACCCCCAAACTCGTCTCAAGACTATTCTCGACAAGCCCGTGAATTCTGATGCTGCAAACTGATTGTCCGATAGCACCGCGGGATCCAGATGTGATAAGGTCCCAAATATCGAATATGAGCCTGGTCTCATATATGTCTAGTAAAGGTTGATCCCAGTCACGGGGTTTCGAGACATAGACTTCTAGGGAGCCGATATGCATTCCGTTGGCTGCGTCATAGAGAAAGCCATGGTTGTTATATCCCCAGGCGATGCGACTGTTGTCATAAGACCATGTAACATGCCATTGACGATCGGGAGAAAAAGCGTGATCGTGTTGTCCGTTCGGGTCGCAGAGCTCAAGATACTGTTCCGTGGCGAGATCCCAAACTCTAACTGTACCATCACGCTGGGATACTGAAGCGACTTTCTGTCCGTCGCGAGACCAGGCCAGTGTCTGGAGCAGATCAGAATGGTGCAGTTGCTTTAGGCATCGTCCGGTGGCGAAGTCCCAAATCCTGACGGTTCCATCTTTGGCTGATGCTAGTTGGCACCCGTCCGGCGACCAGGCAAAGGACCCGGAATTATCATCACCATATGGATTATGTGATAGAGCTAAAACCCGCTTTCCTGACACAATATTCCATACACACAGAACCCCCCGGTGAAACGTTCCTAGTTTGCCATCTGATGACCAGGCCACTGTCGGCAAAAGAGGAACATGGTCTTCGATTTCGCAAACTCTGTAACCGGTGTCCGTGTTCCAAATCTCAAGAATACCCTTGGTGGTTAATGACGCGACACGAGCTCTACCATGCGACCAATGGAGCGAGAAGATCCAGCCACAATTTGCTGGTGAGCGTGGGACTTTTTGGTCCAGGGCCTTTCTTCGTAACTTTGTGAATTGGGATCGAACGTACGCCAAAGCCCGGCGGTGACGTGAGTGAGGCCTTGCTGCCACCTGAACAGAATGCTCTGTAAAAGCTGGGAAGTCTCTGATTGGCGTTGTGTCCCAGATCCTGATCAAGTGACCCGAGTGGGATGCAAATCGATTTCCGTCGGGAGCCCAGCAGAAGTGGTTGGCAGAGGAGGTTCCGTCGAATTCGACCGTCCAGAGGCATATTCCGAGTTTTGGATCCCAGATCATAATTCTAGAATCACGAAAACACGTCGCGAATCTAGTTGAATCGGGCGACCAGCTAATTTTGTCGGCCAAGGAAGTGTGTCCTTCCAGCACATGTCCGGGTCCCCCAGTGGCCAAATCCCAGATGTCCACTCTGACGAACGATTTCAAGGCGAGCATACTTCCATCGGGGGACCATGAATCAGCATGGAGATCAGACCGCCAACTATATTCCAATTTCCTCAAACAAACTCCTGTTCTACTGTCGTGGATGGCGTGGGGGAAGTCGTCGTGATTGTCGAAAGACCGGGGTTTCGAAATATACAGACAGCCATCGTGAGACCAGCACTGTATGTGTAAACCACCATCGAGGATTACACGTTGCCTACCTTCATCAGCAGATTTGGAAACATCCCACAGTAGATATCCGCCCTCTGAGTACGAGACAAGATGCTTTCCATCTGCAAGCCACTGTACGAACAGATGCGAGTGCAAGGATTTGTCGTCGAGTATGCGAATACACTTTCCGGTGGTAGCATCACAAATACGAATCTTGGTGCAACCATCCCCAAAGACCGAAGCGACGCGGCCTGTGTGTCGGGACAAGTGATACTTTTCGGACCGGCTAGGAAGTCTCTCCAGCTTGATGCTCGAAATATATTGTCCAGTTCCGGGATCCCAGCTGCTCACAGTAAGGTCTGTTGCCATACATAGCAGCCGGTCACCGTCCTGTGACCAGCCGATATCTGTAAACCTTTCGCCGTTGCCCTCGATGGTATGAATACAACGACTCCAATTCTCCTCGACCATGGGGATATTGGTAATCCACGTGGGTGTTTCGTGCTGGTAAAGAGCTTTGACCAGACTCCGATTAGGGGTCCAAATGAGTGCTGAACTATAGACCTGGAGCGGGCTGGTTTCAATCGGGACCTTGAACTCGCGCATGTATCGGGAAATGTCATTCACAAGGTTTGACAATTTATTCGCGCACTTTGCTTTCTAAACAAAGTACAGAAAGTGCCCATAGTCAGCTTTCCTCTCTTTATTACACCGGGTATGCATACCTGCAGAAAGCTATCAAGTATGAGGATAGCTCCAATGCCTCCAGTAAACTGCCCGAGAATGCTAAGAGCCTCGAGCCAGTAAAATAGTTTCAGTTCCAGAAAGAGCTGAATCGGGCCATCTGTAGACAGGTCCACCGTGTTCCTAGGATCTGCTTTTAATAAATGATCAATCCAATATGTGCAACAGTAACGTGCTTGTGTCAAGGGGTCAGGTGTAGGACGACAGATGTTCTCGACTCGACACCCGGGATTCTGAATGTTGTATATGTTACGTCGAAGTGTCTGGTTCATCATCTTGATAGACTGAGACAACATCCTACTGTGTTCCATCTCATGACCGGCTGGGATTATGAGTTTGGACGTCAGCAAGAAATCCTTCGCAGACTGATGGACAAAGTAAATGGTGTCTTCGCGAATAGATAAGAATGAGCCACAGAGCTTGATAATCTGCGTTATCATCCGAGGATCTGTCGAGAATCGTCAGGGTAGATCGGTAAGTACTGGTAGCTCTTCAACTTCCAGAGGCCGGTATGCGGTACAGACGGTGGCGAGAATCACTCGGCACAGCTGTCTACTTTCTGAAATTTCAATATCGCGCATCATGCGCTTGTAGAGATCTTCGAGACTCGCCGGAAAGGAGGTAAGAATATTTTCCACTTCGCATGCCGACGTACTGGCAAGTCGCTCACAGACCAAGGCAACCCATAGAAATGTATCATTGGAGTTTGACGTCAAATATTCTCGGATGAAGTCTTTGGTGTTCTCGTCGTATCCATTCAGCGCGGTGAGGAAGTCCACCTTGATCCGAATATAGGTCTTCACAGCGGCAGCGACAGAATTCTCGTTCAGCTCGAGAGACAAAGTAGAGCAATATGTAGCCGTCAACTGCTTCTCAATATCAAGCCAGTTCCGACTCGAGACAATCCACTTGACCCGAGGATTTCCCGTTGACCGTTTCACCAGCTCAAGCAGCAATGGCAGGCCGGTGCTGCACTCGTCCAAAGCATCGATGATCAACAACGTGGTCTCTAACTCTGGGTCCTCCAACATTTCGAGAAACATTTTCGATAGAGCGTACCAAGCATTGGTATCTTCGAAGAGCGTTTTCCCTTCCACGTCATAGCGCGGCCGGATATAGGAGAGCAGACTCGGCCGCTGATCCACAAGTAGAAAGATCAAGCCCCGCAAGACGGACGTTGCATCGTTCAGGCGAGCATCGCTCTGTTGACAGAAGAAATATGACAATGCGTCTCGGGCAACTCCTTTGTCAATTCGTCAATGATGCCACAAAGGAGCATGGTCTTTCCTTTTCCGGGGTCAGCGCGGATCCACAGCATTCGGTCGTTGGCATCTCGATCGGGCCCGCCATTATCTCTCCACCTCAGGAATTCATTGTTTTGTAGGACCCATGAGTATGAATCCTTGAGTATTCCTCCTTTCAACTCCTCGATCCTGGTCTTGTCGTCCCGAGGATTGCTTATCCGAAGATCGCGTAGACACGCTTCATTGCGTGAGGCTTGCGATGGTCCTAGAGCAAAGAAGAACGACCAGGTCAAGTGATATTAGCATAGTGTCAAACTGGTGTGACTGCAAGGGTTTACCGTGATGATTGTGGAACTCAACACTGCCGTTGTTCTGGCCAAGCTGGAGCCCCGCGTTTGTGGAGTTGTTGAACAGCGCTGTTGAGGTGTTCATTATGTGACAGATTATCTGCTAATTGCGGCGTGGGAGCCACCATGTGGTAATCTTCCGCGTGTAGGACAAGATCAACAAGAACTCAAGGTCTATGGATGATGGCTGGGGAAGCGGAGGAATCTTCGTGCGCTACCACGGACCCCTCATTTCAGCTGGCCAAATGCAGTAGACATCGCCTGCAGGTGCGCCTAACTTGCAGGGTGCATTGGCCCAATGACAATAACAAAGATTGTGACAGGGGTCGGCATTAGTCTGCCGGATTCGTGCAACCATCTTCCTAAATGGGATCGACCGCGGCTATTTCACACGATCCGCGCTGCAATGCTATATTTAGTCACTGACTGCCGGGCGTCTCGAATCTCACAGCCAAGCTACTAGGTATCAAGAATTACAGTACTCTAGTGCAACTTGGCCAATTTCTCTTCCAGTCTTGACAGCTACTCCTAGGTTATTCTAAGACTATCACAGGACTCTCAGAGCATTCGAGTGAATCAGCAATACGACTCAATTCCAGCACTTTACTCCAAGGGCCTCAAGTGCGTGGCGAGTCCTAAATAGGTTTTCTACCGACATTGCCCTCAAAACAGATTTTTTACATATTGGTAGCACACAAATCAAAAAAGGGTTTCTGTGAAGGCAATTGAGGCATAGCGCACCACATCTCGATTATTCTATAAGTATACAAGTTATGATACAATCTCCAAACAGCAGGCCAGAGAAGCCAATGCCTCGCTAAGCCGGCATCTTCAACCCCGTGACCTCCTCACAGGCCCTAATAGCCTTCTCCTGGAGCCCAACGTCCTGCGTCGCTGGAAGAGCACTACCGCGCTTCCTCTTAGGCTCAAAGTACGCCCCCGTGATACTCTGATCATACTCCCCCTCGGCCAGCATAACATACGTCTCGACCCCATCCTCCAACCGATCCGGCGCCCCCGCACCCCCCAACTTGGTCGCCACCCACCCCGGATGCACAGAGACCACACTCGACGTCCCCTTCCACAATCGCGCAAACGCATTCGCAACCAACATAACATGAAACTTCGAATCACAATACGCCTGGAAATCCTGGAAGGTGCGCTCGCCTCGCTTGCGCCAGAAAATATCCTCCACGGCGGTGTTCCGCGCGCTGCGGTGCAACTGCGAGGAGATGACGATCAACCGTTTCGGGCGATGCAGCAAGCACGCGAGGATATACGGCGCCACCACGTTGACAAACACCATGGCCGGGATGCCGGTGTCCGGGGTTTTGCGGAAGGGTCCGGAGAGCATCCCCGCGTTGAGGATCACCGCGTCGAATGTGCCGATGGCGTTGGCTTCTTCGGCCAGGTGGCGCGTCGCTTCGAGATTGCTAAGGTCGGCGATAAGGACCCCCGCGGCGCCTGGACAGGATGCTTGGGCGTGGTCTGCGCGGTCTTGGTTGCGCGCGTGCAGGTAGACGGTGTGGCCGCGCTGGACGAGTTGGCGGGCCGCTTCCAGGCCGAAGCCGTCGGCGGAGCCGGTGATGAGGACGCGGACCATTGTGGTCAGTGGATTGCAGTGCAGTGGTGGGAATAGTCGAGTGCAGATAGAGAAGAGTTTAACTCGAGGACACTGCTCGTGCGTAGGACTAGATTGACCTATTCGAGATCGGGAATCCGGGAACACAAGATTGCTTGCTCTTGGGCACTCGCGAAGAATATATCCATTTCGTCGGCAAATGCATTTGACATCATGGTTATCATTCTCGGAGACCGCGTTGGTAAGTCCGGTTACGACCGGCCTTGCCGGTGGGTCTCGCCATGAAGAATTCTTCCAGAAGCCCGCCTCGCACTCGAGGCTGTCCCACACTCCCATCCTTTGCCAGGTGGGGCCAAGCACAGGGTGAAAAAAGCAAAAAAGATTTGTCCCGAGGGAGGTTCGAACTCCCGGCCTTGGGATCGCCCAGAAGTGATCTTCCGAGTCATACTGATGTATGAGACCCACGTGATAACCAACTACACCATCGAGACAAGTTGTTGAGAGGCCGCTTTTGGGTTGGAATCTAGTAGCAGAACACCCGGAAGTGCTCACAACCGCTCAAACCGAACCGCATCTTGGAACCCAGCAACAACCACATTTGCGAATATTGGAAGTTGCCGCCGTGATTAAGCGCAAATTTGCCAAACTTACACTGAAACTCTAAAGGGCAAAGAATTATCATCCGCTTCTCTCTCTCAGGATGCCACGTACAAAATGCCCCCTAAAAATGGGCATTATAAATGATTTCACTTCACCATTGTCCACGGTCATTAGCCTCTCCCGATGTGTCGGAAATTCCAGCCACGGAAATGCTTACATCTCGGCTCTGATTCGCTGCGTCCCTCCCGACATACCCCACGCACTGGTACTACTACGATCGGGTTCACACTTCGTCCAAGTCCGAGCTTACCTAGCCTCAAAGACTTGCGAAATAGTGACCTGTGCAAGTCATCATGTCGACTTCAGGTGAAAGCAGAAGTGTGCCGGATGTCAACTCAGTCTATTTCAACATCCTGGTAGCTAAATTTCGATTTCCGTTACTTCCTACATAGTTTGGTCCATCCCTTCCGTATTTCGATCGCAAAGCGGTACATATGTAGAACGCACCCAAAGACTATAGCTCTGATCAGACAGGTTCAATCCCACATCACACCCCAATATAGACACCAGAAAATGAGGCAATAGAGCAAATACGGCCTATTTATAACCATACAGGCGGAGCAAGGGTTGGTCGTCGATTTGAATACACCATGAAGATTCGTTTTAATTAGTGCTGAGGATTAGAGACTTTGACATAAGATACTGGGTATTGTGATGAAGCCAAAATCAGTTTCTTGTGAGATCGTAAACAAGCTTCTCGCCACTAATCTTTCCTTCCCTCAACAGCTGCAGCCCGTCCAAAACACCATCTAGCCCGCCATCGCCAACGCGAACCGGATGGGGCTTGATCCTGCCGCTCGCCAGCAACTCCTCGAAGATAGCCGTAAAAGCTTCCGCAAATTCTCTATCGACGGGCCGCGCAGGAATCTCTTTGGATCCAAAGATGAATCTCTCACCGAACGCAGTGTAGGCCATCGTGGCTCGATCGCGTACATTCTCCCGTTCAATTGCGATCGGTAGCAGGGAGCTATAATCTCCCCCCTGCGAAGAAAGAGCCATATCGCAGAATCTGGCACTGCTTTCGACGGACACGGTATCGAAAGCCAGAGTAAGGCTGTCGTTGGTATACTTTCTGATTGCGTTGGCGGCATCGGGATCGTTGTAGTCGAAAACCGCGTCCGCACCCAGGGACTTCACTCGATCGGCGTGACGAGGAGAACAAGTCGTCAGAACAGTATACCCCGATAGCTTGGCAAGCTGGATCGCCAAGGTCCCGGTCGCTGTTGATCCTCCGTACACCAACACCGGGAGTTTCTCATGCGCTGGAGACGTGGGTAGTGAAAGGCGAAGGCTCTGGTAGAGGCCCAGAGCGGCAGTGATAGCTCCTAAGCCTAATGTTGCCGCCTCTTCGAAGGACATGCTCTCAGGGATCCTGTACTGGAGATCCCCCTTGACGACAATGTATTCCGCGAACGCCCCATCCTCTGGCTGCACGGCATTGGATCCGTGTACAAATCCACAGATGCGATCGCCTTTGACAAATGGTTTCTTAACAGCTTTGCCGACGTCCTCCACGGTGCCGGCGTAGTCGCACCCGACAAGTACCCCGGGGCTGGCGAGGTAGTCGATATGTTTCCAGTCGGTGGGGTTCAGGGCGACACTGATGGTTTTGACTAGGATGCAGTCATCCCGCAACTTGGGAATGGGCCGGTCGTGGACCAGTTGTGCATGTTGCGGTGCGGTGATGATGACTGCTTTTTGGTATGCCATGATAAGGATGACTCGATGTAAGGATCCAGGTAGCGGGAACTATTGAATAGATGGCATGGTATTGCCAGCATGGTACATGATATACTCACAGCCTCGGAGTAGGTCACGGAGATTAGCGGTGAAATAAGGTATACTTGCGCTGCATCATGATGATCCGCCCGACTGTAAAAGAGTGGGGTCTGTCGGACCAATGAGACTCAATCTGTAAGCATCGGATTTTAGAGTGGGTCTGAGCGAAGGTATTCCCATGGCACCCCCTGGCAAATGAATTGACAGAGCAGATAGTTGATGGTGTCAGAAACAAAACCACGTCTTTCTGACCATAATTGGCCATGTAAGTATGCACCCATTAGTTATCCATCCGGAGATGCAGAACACCGACTATCCACGAGACGGTTATCCGTCGCTGGATGGAACCATAACTTTCAGATAGTCCCCCTACCCCAGATAATCACCAAACACCCTCCGCCAAGCGAGTGGCTTCTCATCTCTCTGAGCCCTCCACTTATTCGTCGAAACAAGAATGTCCGGACATCCGCGAAGAAAGTACCCCCACTTCCTCGCAAACTCCTCCGTAACCTCCCAATTCGATGGATCCCACGGATCCCCCCAGACAAGTAAGGTTGCGCTGCTGCTCCGCGTATCCCAGAAAGCGGTTAGATCATGACAGAACCCATGACCATCCAGCAAATCCCCCGCGCGGATCAGGTTATCCCGCATTTGCTCGAAGGGGAAGATGTCGAGCCAAGGGTGATGCGGCACTGTTCGCTGCACGGGGGTCGGCCGCAGCCGCTCCGGAATCGCGCTTAAGGTATACTGCGGTGAGTGAGGGCCACTCATGCTGAAAATTGAAACCGCGTCGTCGCGACACATCCAGTCAACGGTCATGCCGGCGATGACCGCGTTCTGGTACGCTGCGCGAATTACGTTAAGCCGACTCAAACTAAGGAGGAGATCTGTCCGAGGTGAACCCATAGCGTGGGCAGCTCGGGCGCGTTTCTCAAATTCAACCATCAGGGTGTGGAAATTGGGAGGGGCGTAGGTGTATCGCGTGGGATCCACCTCGGGGAGGTTATAGAAAATAGAGTTGTGGTCGCTGGATCGGTGAGGCAATGTCTGAACTCGGGATTGATCATCACCGGCAGCGGCTCGAATTGTTTTGCGATTCGAAGGCAATCTGTCCTCCGTACTGCGCGGTTTTTGACGCTGACCTTTAATGTAAACCATCAACCTTTGTCAGCAGCGGGGGTGATAAGAAAATTGCGGGGAGGCCTCACGGTAGGCTCTTTGATTCAGACGATTCTGTACGCGTCGCCGCAGGACCGGATCGGTGACCCCTAGCAAATCGTCCTCGGGTGCATCAGCTGTGGTCGCATGTCGCACATGATGCCGACGCTTGATCCCGGATTCTGCATTCATCATTGCCAAGGCTCCAACAAATGTGAAAATTATCGTCCGATCGCTCACAGCTGGAGTTTAAGTCGCCGGTGTTAAGAATGGTCAAAGACGACGACTCCGTTCTGGAATTATGAGATGCAGATGCTTACTCCAACACAATGATTGGTGACAGGAGAGAATGGGAGGTCAACTTTAACATTTTCGCCACCCACCAGGCTAATCAAGCCCAGCTTGAGGTGATTTGTAATCCAAATAATCCCCATCGGCCTACCGTACCTTCAGTGGGCTGGAGATAGCTGTTAAGGTTCAACTGGATCGATGATGTTCACACTTATTTTGATTTATCTCGGGTGGGGCGTTTGAATAAAACTGAATACATCGAGGCAATTTTCAAAGAACAATGGTCTGGAAGTTGTATATAAGGTCACAATCCTATCAGTGTTCCTAATTCTACCCATCAGCTCTTGGTATATTCAATTGAACATTGCATGCACGATGGCATCTCACCCTGCTCTCATTGCGACTAATGTCAAAGAACCGCTAACCATTCAGCGAGTCCCAACACCTGAGCTCCAACAAAATGAAATCCGTGTCCGGATTGAATGGGTGGTATCTGCCCCTTTGGATGTTTACCAAGTCGACGCGGGCTTGATGGCTCAGTTTCCTCAAAGCCTGGGCGACAGTGGTGTCGGCACTGTAGTGGCAGCTGGCCCTGGGGTCAAACGCCTACAGGCTGGGGATCAGGTCTTCGGTTTCTTCTTCCACAACGAGAAGGAGAAGGGGCAGCAGGTGTATGTTACGGCACCAGAGCATCTGTTCGGAAAGGTGTGATGATTCCCGTTCACTTTGTGTCTCCTCTACCCACATCTGACGCAGAATCCAGGTTCCCTCTGGCATAGCTATGCCCGCGGCCGCTACGGTGCCAACTAATGTTTGTACCGCCTACTTCACGTTGACAGGGAAGTTGAACCTCGAGCTCCCCTGGCCGCGCCCCTCGGGATTCTCACCAAAAGATCCAGAGAGTCCGATCATTATCTGGGGAGGAGGCAGTTCGGTCGGCCAGTACGCCATCCAGCTCCTCCACCACTGGGGTTATAAGAATGTCATCACCACCGCGTCGCCGCAGCACCACGAGAAGCTCAAGCTATATGGTGCCCAGCACGTTATCGACTATCGCGAGTCTAATGTCGTCGAATCTATTCTGGACATTGTGAAGAAGAGCAAAATCTCAGCACCCATCCGCGCCTTCGATTGTGTGAGCTCCAAGTCTGGGTCACTGCAGCATCTCGCCAAGATTGCCTGCCTTCCTGGCTCCATTATCGCAGCTGTTCTTCCTGTCGTGCTTCGGTCGCCTTCAGACCCAGCCGGTGTGCAGCTTTCCGCTGATGTCGAGGGAGAAGTATCGTGGGCGCCTGGCGTCGAGGTTCATAGTATTGTCAGCTATACATTCGAGACGGTATGGTTCGCACTTACTTGTTCGCATTCCAAAACTAATCTTCGAGCAGAATCCATTCCTGAAGGATCATCTCCTGCCTGATATCATACCCGCTCTCCTCGCGTCGGGTAGCCTTGATCCCAACAAGTATCGAGAGATCGAGGGTGCTTCGCTTCTGCAGAGGGCCAGCACCGCGTTGGATGTGATGAGAACCGGCACAGTCAGCGGGGAAAGACTTGTGTGGAAGGTGTGGACCGCCGAGGAGTATCCAGAGTTCGTGTGAGGTAGCCTCTGTCAGAGATTCTTACCAGCGGCTGGCCTGTGCAGATGAACCGAGAGAACGTGTGACAAATGATTGCGACGCAGCTCTGGTAGTTTGCTGCTGTTGCAAATGGTATAGTACCTTTAGGCGAGGCGCGTCCCCTTGCATCACGTGCCGGGTCTACTTCGATAATTCGGTCGCATTCAAGCAATCAAATGGGAAGACCTGTTTAAATTGGTCGAAGACTACTTGAGAGGAATGAAATGGATGAGAGGTGGCTCTATGCTATGGATATAGGACTTTTCTTGAACTGGCTGCGAAGGAGCATCCTGATGTTTAGCAGAGTGATGATGTCAGCAGTTGAGGCAGTGATAAAAATATCATATTACCTACAAAAAGGCCCTTTTCTTATTCACACCTCCAGGGGGCTCTAGAAGAGAGGTAGGGTAGATGTCGATTGTGTCTTTCACTCTGGTTGAAAGCAATATGCATTTGAGTCTAGTGAAGAATGACCACTGGGCGCCTTCATACTGAGGTGACTTTGATGATGCATGGTGTTCAATCGACGTTTTACTGGCTGATACCCGATCTCTATCGCATTCAAAGTTGGAAAGATTGTCATTAAGAAGTCTACCTCGCCCCTACATCCTAAAGCGGGAACACATTTCACTGTTACTTTTGATATCAAGATACTGGAGCAGCCTTATTGTGGTAAAGTGAAATTCTTCGAGCCATCAAAGCCTTGATAATTGAGAGCAGCTTCTCCATATATCCCTATCCTCAACTGCATCTAGGATTTTAAAGACCGCACCAAGACTTTGCCTGACCAAGAAGTGGTGGTGTAGCTCGAAGTCCGAGTCAGGTGATTTGGCTGTTTGTTCGTGTTGATTGGGAATCTCATCTTGTTCACATTCACAACGCGACCTTCTCCTCATCATATCCCCCCTCTCCACGAATTTCCTTCCTTCTCTTCATCCTTCTCATCATCCTTCTCATCACTCTTCCCATCATCCGTCTCCTCACCCGTCTCCTCACCCGTCTCCTCACCCTTCTCATCCTCACTCGTCTCTTCACCCGTGTCTCTTTATCCTTCCCTCCCCTCACTCTTTCGCGTCCATTCTCACCGTTTAAAGCTCGCTAAGCCCGACAGATCCTGGCAAACCTTTACCCTATCGTCAGATCTCACTCACCTCAGAGTCAATTCTCATTCTGTACAACTTCTCCCGAGCTTGCCTCACCTCGACCTTTAACCGTCATCATGCTATGCTGCTACCACATCACAGTGCAGCGCGGAGAAAACCTGCTCAGTCAGCTCGATCGCATGTTTGACATCGATTCACCTATAACACTTACGTTCGATGAAATCTATTTGCGGCTGTCTGAGATCGATGATTTAGAGCAAGATATCCGGGCTACACAGTGGATGGAGGAAAGGAACGCAGAAGACGAAGAGAGCTATCCTCCCAACAAGGACTCAGACATTTGCACTACTGATGACGACAAGACCGATCCATCGGACCTAGAAGACGATGCAGACAATGAAAAAGAACGAGTATTTCCGGACAGGGCGACGAGCTCAGAAAAGAGCCGCGAGATCGAAGAACCAGAAGAAGGAGATCGCTGCCAAAGTGTTGAACTTGGTGACTGCGATAGAGAAGATGCACCCGGGCGGAACCATCAGCACCCCTTCGCAGACGATAATCATGAAGCCGAAGAAAATACAGCCCGAGACGCCTCGGAAGCGGGCGCTGACTATGGAGCAAGCACCCCCGAAGTTGGATCGGAAGACGACCATGACTCGGTCGGTATCACAGGGCACGAAAGGTATGAAAGAGAGCCATGCACTGATTGTTCTATCCTCCTCAAGCTCGAACCTTACCGCCTAGCCTTACGAACTCGAGCGATGGAACTCGCCCGCCCGTCGATGAGACCCCTCACTATACTCGACCTCCCGGATGACTTGCTTCTTCAGATACTCGAGCTTTTCCAAGACGTCAGAGTGAACAAAAACAAGATTATCTGGTGGAATCAAGATATACCGGGCTATATCGGTCGGAATTTGCATCCAGTCCAGGCCCAGATATACCGCAAAACAATATCGGACATCCGCCTGGTTTGTCATGTGTTCAATGATTTAGCGTCGCCGCTACTATGCCCGATCCTTTTTGTCAATCTTGACCAGGAGTCCCTTGAGAAAGCCGTCCATTTGTCGCGATGTCCATACGTGGCGAAAGGAATTCTGGGCATCAAAGTCGGCCTCGCCTTTCGGGTCAAAGATCACGAGACAGATTGTGAATCATTTGCGAGACATCATTACAACATACTGGCAAGCGAACTCGAAGCCTGGAAGATGAATGTGAAACACTTGGATTCTGCACAGTCTTCCCACACCCTGGACGCACAGCTACTGGCACCACCTACCGCACTCGGACTTGTCGAGGTTAACTTTTACCACATGTCACTCGCGATGAAGCCCTACATATTCACCAAGAGGAACGATGAAATTACGATTGATAAATCACTTGTCAGGGAGCTACGCGCCACTTTTCGCCAAGCCCAGAAGGAGAATATCAGGAAACGTTCCCTTCAGGTGCAGCTTGTCAGGTCGGGGTCGTTTGTCTCCTCTTTAGCAGCGTGTTTTGCTCGAATGCCACGAGCAGAGTCCGTGGGGTTTTGCGACGCAGCGGAGTCACCAGTTCCTCACCGGTATGCTTTGCTGGTCCGCTATCGATTCCTGGAGGCTCTATGTCATCCTCTCAGGTGGGATGAGATCAAGATTCATCTTTACAACCCTCTGGTTCCCGCCAAGATTCTCTTTGAACTACCAATCGCTATTCAGCGGGCTGGGAAGATGATTCGTAATTTACACGTTGGCTGCTTTCCGTCCGGAGACAGGTTTGCTATAATGCCGGTTCAGGGTCCCATATCTAGATTCTCGGATCAGAGGTTGTGGGCAGACATACGAACGACATTCCGGAACCTCCAAATAGTTACCTTGAATCAGCCCATGGATGTTGACGAGGATATGAGCGTGCCACCATCACCACCAGCGGCCAACACTACGTCTCACTTCAAGGAATACCTGAAGGCTATGTTCACGGGGCCTGAGCTCGAACAGGTTTTTGTCTCCTTGAATGGGGATGGGGAGGTTCCAGGTCGATTCGAAGGGGATGAGTTGAGCGTGAGCCCGCTTCTGGAAGGAATCCAGTGGACGCGTCTTCAAGTTTTCCAAATGACCGATACCTCGCTGACTGAAAACGAGCTTGCGCAGTGGTGCAAGGCTCTTGGACCCCATTTGAAGGGACTATTTCTGCTACGCATCGTGCTTATAGATGGGTGGTGGGCGCCGATACTTGATATTCTCCGCGAGAAGGTGACTGAATCTCGGGAATACCATAAAAAGGACCCACACGTACATATGCATGACCTCCAAGGGGCGGAGATGGGGTTCGCGAACTTTCCAATGTGGGATGAGGAAGTAGCGGGCGATGGAGAACTGGAGGTTCGGGCTTATCACTATGTGACCGGGTGGGCGTATTTGAATGGGGAGAATCCCTGCCGCAAAGTGTTGAACAGAAACCGGTAGTTTCTGTTCACATCCCAGAAGTCGATCGAGCACTTATATGTGTGTTTCGTGCACTGGTGCTATGAGGTGGTAAGAGATCTACTGCGGCATTGATTGCCATGACTTGTGTGTGTTTTCAGTCTCTCTTTCGATTATGCTTGTTGTTGTTTTCTGCACCGACCTGTATTCCCCTGTGTTCTTTTCTGATTTCTTCATGTCTGAGTGTACGCCTCTGTGCCACATATTGCAAGCAAATGTCGGCAATTGTATGTGATAGCACCACAGCATCATTGACTCTCATCAGCAGTTGTAACTCAATTTGATTTAGCATTCAATGGCATTTAGTAAGTGGCATTGGTATCCATGATGCGCCTCAAAATAGCTTTCCTGTTTTCTACGTTATTCTCATTTCCTCGGCGTCATCACAAAAATCTCTCGACCGCTCGGTTTCTTTCCCGACCACCCTGTGTCCGCTTGTGGTCTAGCGCGTCACCGATGCTCCAAGAAACGCAATTAACGAAGATGATGTCCTCTCCGCACCATACTCTCCATCCACCCTTTCACTACTGTGCTAAGGTAAAGACGATCCCGTGGCTCGTTCCAGTAATGTCCATCGAGATCATTCCATCCAATTTTCAGAACAGATGTACACAGCCCAGTCGTTGCCTGCGTCAATGTTTGTCCGCGCAAACACTCGACGAGATGCGGGATGGAATGCGGGTGTCAGAAGCGGCAAATTCCCAATAAGGCATCGGGGACTTGGTTCCGGGGCGCGTCAAGCCTCCCAAGAAACTCTCCAACTGTCCCTAGACGTCAACCTAAGGGCTAAGTTCCGGATGCTTAATCCACGTAAAAGTCCTTTCGAGATGTTGCAGTACCCGGTGCAGGCCGTAATTCCGATGCAGCTTGCGGACGAGCGCCTCATCCAGATCCTCGACCTCCTCGTACAGCTTCTCCCAGGACGACTCGGGATCCTCCAGGGGAAAGACGTACAAACCGGCCAGGATAATCAGCATCGCGCGCCGAAGCACACCGGCAACGGCCTTTGTGATACCATGCAGGACGTCGCCGGGCCTTTCGTCCACCGACACAAGCATACGGCCGATGCGCAGAAGCCCGGATAAACCGTCGTAGCGCATCTGGTCATCCGCCAGCAGAGCGCACTTGGCGACGAGCACCTCCATGACGCCCTCGAGATAAGCGTAGATCTCCATGAACACCGTTTCCCTGTCCCACCGGTTCAAGCGGGGGTGGGCAATCTCGAGTTTCTTGGCGACCAGCTCGCTGTACCCGTCGAACGAGTACGGCCGATCGAGCTCCCTGAGTGCTCGCTTGACCTGCGCATGCACCCTGGGCTTCACGCGGCCGCCCTCGTCGATGGTCTGGCGGATGTACTCGGCTAGATCCGGCATCGGGGAGCAGGAGCGCGGCCGCGGGTCGGAACGGACGGCACTTTGGTGGGGTGAAGCAATGGCGTTTGCGTTGTTTGCGTTCCGGTCATCGGGCTCGACCGAGCGAGTGACAGCGTTGCCGTCGAGGTCGGTGCGCGACCGTTTGGAAGCGTGAGTATCGGACATGGCGCAAGTGACTAGGGGGCTTTTTACTGTGAGTGGCGGGTCTTGCTCTGGTGGACTTGCAGTAAGAAGAAAAAAGGAGTAATTGATCTTGATCTAGGGGGGCATTTACTATGTTGAGTGTTGTGTGGGGTCTTTGTTGTTTATGTATCACGGCACGCTAGTTCCTGTCACAGATCACGTGGGGTTGATGGAGTTGATGTATCAAATTGGTGTCCATGTTCTGTGGATTGATCAATTGATCGACCAAGCGAAGCTAAAATTCCGAAAAGGCTGGCTATGTGATATTAATGCGCACAGAGTGCTAGGTACTGCCCTGCCCGTCATCCAGCGCTTATCTTTCCAGGCGATTTCCCTCTCCCCGTCTTGCCTTAACGTCCTTCCTAATCTTGCCTCTTGCCATTTCTTCTTTGTGGCAAGTACCATGATGCGGTTCTGTTAGCTTCTGTTTACCATACTGGTGTCAATAGATAGCCTTGATCGCTTGTCCCGCATCGTATGCGCTTTATGCCAACACATAGGGAAAGTAATTGCTGCCCTGATCTAGGGGCACACCTCATCGGCACCTACGACGTGGATTCAATCTATATCCTTGAATAGTTCACCGGACATTAAAAGTCCTATAAACACAACACACTAGCCTGTTCTTTACTCCCCGGCACGAGAGCAGAGACATACAAGGATCTTGATGATCTGCGACCGGGATATTCTCACATGCAAGTCACCCGAGAGATAAAGTAACATTCTGAGCCTCGTTAAATATAAACTTGTAACGCGTCGCGACAAACTATCCGTTTCCGAAACCTCATTTCAAAAACATAGAAAGGCAAGGAAAGAGAAGAACATACAAAGAGAAAATCAACCAAGCACATGCAAAAAAACATTGATTGAGATACAACGCAAGACTTTTGGTCAACTTCCGTAAACAGATCACTTCCAGGTTGGCACGTTTTGCAATAAGGATTCCCAATCCGATAGCCAAGCTTCCGACCGAAGCAGGCTGCCTAGACCAGCTCCTCTGTTTCAGGGGAAGCATCGTCGCTCCAGGGGCGGGGGAAAGAGGCTTCACTGCCAGGGGTGGAGGCGACGTCGTACTTGAAAAGGGAACCAGGGTCAGTAAAGAAAATGTCCATATGACTCCTTAGCAGACGCAAAACACCCTTCAGCGAGCCCGTCTCAGGATATTGCACCCTTTGAAGTCTTCTGTGCAGTTTCTCTACCTGTAGTACTAAGGCTTCGCCACAATAGGCCAAGGGGGCTGGCTCTCCATTTTGCATGCCAGCGATGATCATGTGCATTGAGGACCTTAGGGCCAGAAAGACTTCCAAGTAGTCGAACTCGAGCCAGAAATCACGAGAGGGTCCTATGTCGTCGGAGACCACAGCCAAACCAATCTGTAGCAGGCTCTGAAGACCGTCCAATTTCGCAAATACGCTCGCCAGCGGGCCACACTGCGAGACAATCGAATCCATGAGGCTCATGATATATCTCGCCACGGTGCCGGCCACGCGCACCGTGTCAGAATAAGACATCTGATAAGGTTCGCCCCGCCTAAACGTGGAGACCAGCCGCCGCCTCCGGGATCATATGCGGGGACAAATACGGAAGGCCATTGTTGCCAAATCCGCCGGACTATTTGTATGCAGAAAATGAGAGACCTATGGATACTATAATCCCTACACCCTAATTGAAAGATTGATAAAAGGTACTCCCCGATTAAGAACCCTGATAACAATACCTTCGCCCCCCCAAGAGCCCTAAAATCCTAGTGATAAAAAAGTCTTCAGAGTTCCACTGGAGTGAAAGAAGCCTACGGTAGGGAAAATGCAGGTACTTAACCTTAGGCCCCGGGAGAGAAGGGGGGGCTTGGTCATATGAAGGGGCCGGTTACGGCTGCGGTGAGGATAAGTTACTTGGTGGAAAAAGTCGCAACTTGTCAAGTGGCCGCAATGGTCTTCCGTAGTCCACCGACTGCTGGTCATATTGCTCACCGCCTAAAATGCAAGTGGGGACCAGCGGTCGCTGGTGTCACGTTACTTGATGCCCTAAGTATGCGCGAATAGCTTCGATCATATCATACCTACTTAGCCACTAAGGCCGTGGAATTTTGGTCTAACGCTCTTGCTAGCAAGCCGCATAACATCTATATTGAATAACAAGATCTAAAATATTGTTTTTATTTACACCTTATGTACTAAAGCAGCCTAGGCCCAGACAACAAGTTCTGGGTTGTGGTTATATACTTCATCATTCCGCACGTTGCTGTGCAGATCCAACAAACAATTCTGGGCTCAGGCGGGGTGTAGGCAGATTGAACAGGTATTTGCATCGTTTTTTCTCGAGTTAGCCGAATTGAAATTATCAATACACTTTCTAAATGTGTCAACAGCCTTAGAATAGTCTGCTCATTACAATCAATCCTCTAACCACCCGCGGAAGGATTGGGGCAAAGGGGTATTTGCTGCACTACAAAGTCATTACCACAAGCCGGTCATATATAGTAGTTACCTACCACTAGAAATTCCGTGACCATATCATCACCCAGCCTATAAAAGAGAGCAGATGCTCAAAGGAATCCTGTTATATTCACACAAGGTCTATCCTTGACGAAGACGATAAACGGCTTGTTTCCCTAGTCTCTTTCTCATCATATTACGACAATACAGCTACCACCGCAACACAAAAACAAAATGCAAATAAAAACCGGCATTCTTCCGCTCACTGATGCCCATACCCCGTGTATTCCGTCGTTGACTGCAACTGATGCGTCTCAACCTCCCCCGACTCCAGACAGGCCTGGTTCTTGGCAAGCACATGATCCGCCGGCAGCAACCACCCGGGATGAAACACGTTGAAAACCGCGACCGCAATCACCATCATCACACCGTCCAGCCCTACGAAGTAAGACTCATGCGTGATCAAGTATCCGGTCCAGCCTTGCGCCAGCTCGATAGTCCGGTAAATGCTCCGGATGTAAATGCAGACCACGGAGAGCACCATGGCGCCAACGAGGTAGGCGAGCGGGCCGTGGAGGAGACCCTGCAAGTACCCGAGACGCAGGGAGCGACGGAAGAAGTCCACCGCACAGAAGACAAAGACTGTGACGGAGACTAGCTGGAAGACGATACCGGCGACCATGGTGTTGGTGCCCGGGGCAGTGTTGCCGTCGACATCGTTGGATTCCGTGGAGGCCAGCGCGCCGCCTACGGCTTGGACCACAAGTGAGATGACGTCGCAGGTGCAGAAGATCCAGAGGTATAGTTTCGGAGACAGGATCGAGGATTCGCGACCGAAGAGTTGGATGAGACGACCGAGCAGGACGTAGATTGCGGCGGTGAAGAAGGTCGGTGCTTTTAGGTGTTAGCGGGGGTACTTATTCGTGTGTGGAGATAGGGAAAGGTAGGTCTCACCGATGATCAAGGTTGAGATCTGGAGCATGAATGCGGTGGAGTTGTAGGGACATTGGGACGCCCACGTCCGCCCGGCCCAACCGAGGACTTCCACTGCTGTGGTGTTAGCTGAGTTTCCTTGCGACTTGAAACCTCGATGGCATCCATACCCATGCATCCGATGCTGAACAGACTGCACCACCATGTTCGCTTCCAGCAGAATTGGATTAGGTGGACGATCATGGATAAGCCGAAGAGGACACAGAACGCAATTCCGGCGCCTTCGGAGGGGGTGTATCCGTATGATGTACTGACACCCTCAATGTAGGCCTTGCAGCCTACGTAAAGTCCATTATCATCGGTAGATGGCATGGTGAGGTGCTAGTTCGATGCGATTTGTTGGGGTAGAGAATAGTGAAACAGGTCCTTGGCTATGAAATCAAAGTGTAAGATTTCCTGTTTGTTCAGAGATCCGACAACTCGACAGTTTATATACCATGGATACACTGCGAGGCTATAACATAAGCTCTTAACTGATGGTGAAGGCATCAGCATGAAGTTGACGCATGGACCAATCACAAGATCATATCCTACACAGCCTTCTACCTATGATTGAAGGATCAAGGATCAGGCAGCGAAAATACGGAGTATACATGGGGCGGCTCTCGGAAAGATCGACAGCCCTCGGATCTCTAATCTTATCCACAGCCGCACGCCAAGCACTAGGACCAGGCAATTGCTGTCTGTGATTGTACGGCTCGTAAATGTACGGCGTGGCTTATCTTTAGCGCGATCCTTATATCGCAATGAAGTCTGATTGGTCACATCGTAATCCCATCACCCCGGTGGGGGCCACGACAGCATGAAACATGTGGACAGAATTTTCAGACAAACCCTGCAAATGTCGTGTAGGTAGATCTATTTAGACAGGGTTGATCCTTCGAGAGAACGCCTTGTCTCGCATCACCAGCCCACATTCTCCCATCGAAGCTCCCAAGGCCCGTCCAGGCCATGAGGCTTAGAGCGAAAAAGCACCAGGCACGGATTCGCCCGTGACTCCCGTTCACTTACTATCGACGAATCGTGTATGCGCTGACGTGCCAGTGAAGTCCGCTGCGCGACGGGCAGATGTTCGAGCCCCGTCTCCTCCAATTCCATGACACGACTCGCGACCGCCACATGCAGCCCTTTGTCCCACAAGCCTTCCCGAGCTGGATATTTCGATAACAGATCGAGAGCTCGGCGCCGCAGGATCGGGTGTCGACACCGCTGAGCCGTCCAGTAAAGCACTGGTATTAGTTCTGCGTCGAGAAAAAACTGCTCCGCGGCCGAGCTGCGTTCGTCTCCAACACAAATTTCCACCAACTTCTCACCTGCACACACAATAGCTACGAAGTTCGGGATGAACTTGTCCAAGACCATCTCATCTAGAGAAGTGCAGGTGCTCAGCCACGTGATCGCGGTGTGGTACTGGCATGCCATGGACAAGGGCGCCCGCGGATCGAGGATCCCGCTGGCCTTGGCGGGCTTTTTCCGCAGTGTCTCGAAGGCCTGGAACCATGCATGGCACTCGCCTAGTAGGGCCCCTTGCTGATGGAAATGTTCCGGATAGAGCGGTTGCGGTGGGTTGGCCAGGACGTGACGCTGGGCGAAACGGACAAAGGACAAGCACCGAGTAATCATGCTCGTCAGGTAATCCCTCGCTTGGTCTATATGGTCAAAACTGAGGTTTTTACTCGATCGGAGGGGGGAAGAGTCGGGCGATCGTATGTCCAGCGCTGGCATGAGCGGTCGACCAAAGTACGACAACTGATTGTTCTGTCGGCAAAAGAATTGGAACAGGTCTTTATTGATGGTATCCAACGCGGTAGTCTGCCTTGAGAGGATGTCCAGGCCGCCTTGAACGTGATTCATCGCTTGCCTGGAATTTCCCTGGAGCATCTCGAGACAGACGAACAAGAGGCATTGGGTGAGCATCAAGTCAAAGCCCCCCTCTTTCGGGTCTCCGATCTGCCGTAGAAATTGTTGGATAGCTTTGTTGTACTGTTGCAGCGTGAACTCATCAATCGCATGTGCAGGCTCAAACCAGCCTGCCAGTTGACGCTGATGTAGCGATCCGACAGCGGCAACGGCATGCCGGACCGCCTGGTTGCGGTGACTGAGTTGCGGGAGGAATTGGCTCCAGAACTGCGACGGGAAGAAGCCCGACAGCGCAGGCGCGGTCTGCGTGCAAAAGAACTGCACATATTGCCGCTCCTCCCGCGTACCTGGCACGAGCACAATCCTCTGATCCGAATTCGGGCTCAAGCCCTGGCCCCAAGGCGTGGACTGGATGAGGGCTTGGCGAAGTTGCGTCTGTGACGCTTCGGTGTAGCCGTCGCATTTGCGCCCGGAGCGTGTGCACTGGCTGCACGCGGGCTTCTCTTCTCCACACTTGACGTGGCGGATCCTGTCATATCAAGCCGTGAGTCAGGGGTTGTATTGGTGCAGCGGGTCTGACTCGGGTGTGCTACTTACTTGCAGGTTATGCATCCTTTGCGGGACCTGGAGTTGCTGGTCCTTGTTCTTCGGGTCGATGCTGGTGCCATGGGTATGGTGGTGCTGACGCTATAGGGGATGACTTGATCTCAGGATGTGATTACTGATTGATAAGTCATGGGGGATGAGGCTGACACTGTTGTCATCGAGGGATTTTCGCGCTAAGCTCGCAGGATCAGTACCACGTGATGGGCACTGCAACACTTGTAGTTATAGTCACCACGGGTCGGCTGTATTGCCACAGAATTATGTATGGAGGAGCGTAGCGTAGGTTAACTGTCAGGATGGTCAGGCGCGCCGGGCGGTATTGTCTTTCTGCCACCGCCTAGGCCTTCCAACAAGTGTTTAGTACACTTTCCAGTCCCAAGAGTCTGTACGATGTTCATATCTTCTGAAGTAACACTCAGAGCAGAAAGCGGTGAGACCCGGCGCCGCCGCCAGGTGCTGCCTCCGGTATACGCGCTCGTCCTCTAGGTTCCGGAACCATTTGCCCCTGCGGTTTTCGTAATCGTCGGCTGGCATTGAGAGAAAATCTTCACTGTCGCTCCAGAGCTGATATGTATACAGACTACACAGACATAGCCTAAGACTGTCACTCTTATTGCCAAAAGGGTGACGAGTTCTTCAAATCATGCACTTGTCCCGTCCCAACCACTCCATCTACTTAGCTCAGCTCACCATAACTTCAATTTTGCTTAGTCCTTGACTTTCCCTACACTTAGGATCTCAACAGATGCAACAAGCCCTACATCCCCTACATCGAAAGACAAATCAAAGCTTCCAAATTTCTCACCACTAGTTCTACCTATTGTGGGGGCCAAGAGCTCTGACATGTCAGCCTCAGCTGGCCCCAACATAAACATAAACAATTTCCTGCAGCCACGACCCGCATCTCAATATAAGACGGAAAGCCCGACTCGAGACTCCCTGTGCCAACACCCATAATCACAATTCCACACCGACATTATCGTCCATTACACTCTCTAAAGCTCGGGATAAGTCCACTCTTCAGATAAGAGAACCACAGAAGATGGACATACCCGAATCATGACACCACAATCGCTTGTACCCGCTTAGGCACCCGTCTCCGTAGTCCCGACAACACGACTCGGAGATCTCCCGGCACAGCACATCCCAATTCTTCGTCCTTGTCGAGGCGACGAAGAGCCAGCCGTCCGAGTCGGTGTCGCCGGGGGCAGATCTGCTGGACCCGCAGAATGGGGAGCTGCCCCACCATTTGCATTCGTTGAAGCCGGCCATCTGACACTTTGAATATGCACCGGTCGCGAGCAGCATTACTGCAATTGTTGGGAGGGCGAGCAGCTGCATTGTGGTGACTGTAGGACGATAGCAAGAAAAGGAGAAAGTCGGGAATGAGTGTTGTAGTTTCCTTTCTTTTCACAAGAAGTAGAGCACGGGACTATATACTATCAGGACAGCATGGTTGCTGGATCAAGTGGACTGAGAACGCAGCTTCAATGTACATAGCCAAAGGCCGCTACAAGGCGAGTCATTGGGTCTGTGTTCAGTATCTCTCGTATTCAAGGTTGAGTTGTTTGCGGGCAGAGCGTCTCCAAGCATCAAAGTACCTCGTATCGGCTTGAAGCTGCCACAAGTAGCTACACGAACTGACTTCAATCGCTCGTCCCGACCAGCGACATGCAGCTGCCACGTCAACCGTCTTCAGCCACCGCTGGAACCATCCTTGGCAGTTGGGTTCCCATAAGTAAACATCTCTCTAGTCACAAGTCAACTCCACGGAATACTCCTCTATCGACAACCTCCTTGATACTTCGGATCAAGCACCGTGGCTACCGCAGGATCGAGCAACAAGGAACTGATAGACATGTGACACGAAGGGAGGTTGCTGTACCGCTAGCTATGGTCATCATCGAACCTTCATCACTTTCTAACTTTCGCTCCTCTTCTCCCGGGCACTTTTATTCACATTTTAACCACATTTCTCCCTATTTGAAGGGGATCTTCCTGCGTGTTTACATAGCTCATTCCAAATTAAAGTTCAATGTATCGCTACACTCTAATACGTGTCTAGCCCGCATAGTTCACCTTATCGGCGCGACTGCCGGCCGAGGAAGCCGAGGGTCCCGAGCGGGGCTCGGAAGTGCCCGACAATCTTAACCTACTGGCACGAGACCCGACAATAGCAACTTCCCACCGGGTAGGAGTACTAACATTTGTTCTACTACATCACTGGCAAGTCCGTATCTTATTCTTCTGGCATTCTTGGGCAGCTCCTAACCCAGATCTCACAGAATCTACCCTGAACACTAGTCCATCTCTTCGACCACCGTCAATTCAGCAATCGTCGCTTCCAGGAAGTCCTTCTGCTCCGCCAAGAACTCCGTCATGCCGGCAATATTGAACGGACGTTTGGTATCCACCCGCTTCCGCTCCTCCTTCAACTTCAAGCGGATGCGCTCCTCGAGCAGCTCTAACCGATACTCCGTGAAGCCATGGTAGAGCTCCGACCAGTTGCTGATGGCCCGGGACCCGGTCAGGACCAGCTCGTCGCGGACGGAGGGATCCCGCAGTCGGAAGGGGGTCACCATGCTGATCCGCTCGCGGCCACCCAGCGCTTTGAGCGCCTGGTGCTCGATATATCGGCCTTGCATTACCACTGCGGTGCCCTGGGAGACTCGCTTAGCTAGAAAGAAAAAAGAAAGAGGCAGAGAAGAACGAAATAATGAAATGAAACAAAGAAAAACAGAGGGTAGCATGGTGTGGACATACCATCGCCGGTCCACGGATCTTCTTGATCTCGCCCGCTGGGGTCCGGATAGCCGTCTCGCCGCCGACCATGTCGCTGCAGTCCGACAGCATCGTCACGCACACGAACGGGAAACTGTCGTAGTGCCATGCAAAGGCCGAGGTGTCCGGTTTCTCCTGGACCGTCGCAAAAGTCGACGCATCCTCGTTGACAGAGATGTTGATATTGGCGATCTCGTAGTCGAACGCGACCACAAGGTCCACCCCAGCGACCTGGGATACAATGCGCTGCAGCTCGGGTGAGCTCCACGCATCGCAGGTGAAGGGGGCGCGTCTGCGGAAATTCAGTCAGTCTGCGAGATACAGCTCATTGTCCACACTTGGAATGGCGCGGTGAAACGAACTCTCGACCCATGCCCCGGATCATATTCTTGGCGAAGCTCGACGAGTATTGACAGTCTTTCAGGACGGGCTCACTGAAGATCTCCGCCCGCATCTGTTTGATGGCTTCGGGGGTGAAGAGGGGAAATGGTTCGGAGGCTGCCACCGGAGAGATCCCGTGGCCTTCGAGACCGATCTCCCGCATCGTGGTGATGCCGCTCGGGGGCTGGAAGTTTAGGTCGCGTCTCGCGTCGAAGAGCTCTTGCTTATCCACACGAGCGCCATCGATGAGCCATTGAGGAAGGGGGTGGCTTGGACGAGTCGCCTTTTGAGTGGTAGGGCCTACCACTGTGGGTGGTGCGGGGCGCAGCGCGTCAACTGAGGGCATTTTGGACTGGTGGAATTGAAATTGTTGGTTTGTGGCTGTGGTGGATGTTTGAATTAGTTGAAGGGATGAGAAAGGTCTGGAATTCGGAGCATAATCTGAGTTCACTGAGATACACACGGTTATAAATATGGCTTCTTGGCTCATGCCCAAGCCAAGCAAGCGAAGCCAGCACCGACCCGGTCAACCGTGACCCCGCACGCACAGGGGTGCGCAGATGACCAGGGCATGCAGGTAGATTGACAATCAGAAAGACCTCAAATTAGACGATAAGTGTCTCGTGGAGATTGTCACTCATATGTACCCTTGCCATAAGGCAACTCCCGAGTCGCCGAGATTGCAAACTTCAGCCGTCGGGTGCTCGGATGGAAGAGGGGTGGACTCGGGATTCTCGGATCGGAGGTAGTGGATGTGCACAGAAGTAACGACTAGATTGCCTATCTGTATTCGGCCCATCGCCCTTGCTGGTCCTGTCAATGGACTTCTTTCCCTCTTACGCTGCCACACGGATGATTCGGATTGATATGTCTGCTCCGATGGTGTCACATGAACTAGTCAATCATATCAAGACACTTATCATCCAATCCGATTCCCGCGCACGCTTTTGTAGAGGCGAGTCATTTCCAGTAGTGGGCCGCGTTTCCTCATATATTATCATAAATATGGATACTTCGGCCTTGAAGCAACCGAGGCTTCTTGCACCCAGTCGAGACTAGGAGTATCGAAGAACCTTCATCCGCCAGAAATAAGGTTTCAGTGTTTAGATTGGAACACTAAAAAAATAAACAAAGATTAAGCAACATGAAGAGGAAGAAGGAGAAGGCGAGGAAAGGAACAAGAAAAAGTATCAGATATAGAAGAGAACAGAAAAGTAAAGTCGGGGCTAGTCCTCGCCGTCTCCCCGGTTGCCGTGGCCTAGTGCTCTCCAACCTCAAGAACTTGCGGATCTTGCTTAATTCTTGCAAGTCCCCAGCCTCCGTTCCTAATATACTATCGTCTACCCAGCCCGGGGTTGTCCCCTCTTCGAAGTCCACGAGCCACGCGTTGCGATGAACACCGTCAATCACAACATTCGCTGCTTTAACATGCCCCCAAAACGAGCCCATTCCGATAAAGTGTATGCACCGCGTCGGCGATTTAATCATACCATTTCTGGCGCTCGGCGATGCTTACCTCACCGTCATTGTCGGCCGTCATAAGGTCAGCCAGGGAAGCCGGCGACGGGATATAAGTTATTAGGATACCGGCATACTGCGTACCGATGCCGATAATTTCTTCCAGCTTGGGTACTCGGAGCAAGCGTTCTTCTTCGCTGCACTGCTCCATGTTCCGTAGCATGGAAATTTCTCGTTGCAGGGACTCGGTCCCATAGGTCATTTTGTAGGCAAATGTCGCCCCACGGATATCAACTTTGTAGACTTTACCGCGCTCGACGTCGCGGAACCGCTCGATCTTCGAGAGTCGGAAGACGGGAGTATCCCGCATCTCATCTTCTATTACATTCCAGTCAACCTCTTCACGCACCAACATCGGTGGGACGGGGCAGGGCTCGAATACTACCATACCGTTCCTCTGCGGGATCAACTGGAAGCAAAGACGTAAACGCATCAGGTAGGACTTCAGATCTTGCGGGGGAGCAACTGACGTCGACAGGAAAAGTGGTTCGCAATGGAGGATCAGTAGCGATAAAAGTTCCGCCCAGGACTGTTGCATATAGAGATTGATGCATTGGTCAACAATGGATGGTCTTCGGTTCCGAAGCGCCGGGCCCGGAGACTTGTCGAACCGAATGAGGTATTCGGTGTCCATGACACTCGCAGGCAGCCTAACCATGAAACAAAGATAAGCCGCCTATAGGGCGCCCCGGAATAAGACAGGACCCAGACCGCTTACTCTGGCTCGAAGCACAGAGTCTACTGGGCGGAGGTATCCATCGCGTTGGGGGTTAAAGTAAACATGACCTGACTCTGAAGGATCAAATCAGCCAGTTGGGCTGGAAGTTGAGGCGGGTTGATGAGCCGTTGTACCCCGTACCCCACGTTTGTTGCTCACCAAATCCAAGAAGGTCTAATCTCAAATCATCGGTAGGACCGCGCACTCGCCCAGCGGGAGTTAGTTTACTGTTGGTCGAATCGTACTCACTAGCCTGGTTGTGAGCCTCGTCAGGTCTGGGACTGCCAGGCGGCCGGACAGGGGATTCGGTCTTTCTTACCATTGCAACAGGGTGGCAATAAGAACAGAAGAAGGATCGGGCGCTGGGATTCTTGCAAATGGGAGGCACAAATGATCAAGCTCAGCGGTGAAATTGATGAGGCTGTCTGTAATGGAGAAATAGAGGAGGAAAGGCGTGTTTTTTGTATACGATTGTATAACCAACCAGAGCAACTGTTTATAGGCTTATTAGACTTTCTAGGGAAGGTATCTTGGATTGAGCAGTTGAAGAGATAGGAGGAGAAACAGAAGAAGTTTTCCGAGACTAGCAGGAACCTGGAGCAGTCAGGTCCTGGCTTTTGAACCCATGTTGGGCCAATTCAGGACGCAAAGAATAATCCCATAGGGGTGTTATCCCAGGCATTGATAATGCATGGTTCTACTGGAAGGCGATTTCTTGTCTGCTGAATTATAGCCATTGGCCATCAACAGGAACAGTTCTTGGTTATTTGTTGTTGCTCAATAATGAAAGACAAGCAAGTCTTTCTCCCCAGCTCATCTGTCAGACTGGGTCAATAGACAAAGATATTTTCTGGATCTCTGATTGTGGTAGTCTTACCTCCAGGATTCTTTGCCAGGGAGATAGCGAGACAAGATGTCCGTGCATGTACATTGAGACAGATATCTTTAGCATTTGAAGTTTGCAATATCGCGTATTGTGAATGGGTGTTAAGAGACATCCAAGCTATCTCCAACCATCATAACCGAGTACCTAGTAGTCTAGGGAAGGAGAGATGTTCGGTCCCTCGTCTAAGCACATGTCCACCACAACAAGTCCTAGCTTGAAGTGGTTTTGAGGCAACCTTAAAGCGATCATGGCGTAACATCACTAGACTTTGTCCCAGGAAAGATGATACATGACCGTGATCTATTCTGGGACAACCCCTTTTTCTTCCCAGCTTGGCCTAGTCGGCCGCTGCTTTTGCACACTCGGGGTGACAGCACAGCATCCTGATTAGCTGGCTGTAGTCACCGCCCCCGGGTAATTCACCCGACCCGTTCGATGGCTCAATAACTGCCATTGTCTCGTCGGGTTTTGTCAAGTTTGACTACTTCTTCTCGGAACGATCAACCTAGACAATTCGCCGAGCAACACCGAAGACAGATCCCGAGTTACACTTAGAGCTGCGCAAGAGGAATGCAATTAGGCTTTTGCAACTTGTACCTGAGCCCCGAAGGGCCGTGACTACACGGTCACTATTCTTTCATCAATCAGATCTAAGCTGAATGCGCATCCCTGATTGACCTACCGAGCAGGTCAGTCAGGGATGCGTACAGGAAGCACGGATATACCCGGGCTAAGATACACAAGTGGAGTCTCGTAACCTAATCGATGTGAAATCATGATTAGCTCACGTGGGCAAATCAATTCTGGATCGAACATTCGAAGTGCTTGAAGCAACTGTAATATTGGCCTGATCTTAGGGTTGTGGTTGCCGCTTGATACCTCGTAAATAAGGCTGTGTCTTCAACTGTTCCGGGTGTGATTGCCTTGAACTTAGCTTTATGCGCCGGTACTGGAAGTTTCGGGGTCAAAGATAAAGGTTTATCGAATGTTTAATCGGAGATAAACAGGAGCTTGAACAAGTAAAAAAGGGGAAATAGTTATAAATCTTGCTTCCCGCACGATGTTCGGTGCTGATAGGACGGAAGATACTACGTACTGCCTACCGTACCTACGGTAAGCAGAAGGTGGATCCGTATGAATGGATGGAACTAAGCACCGCCCCTTGCATTGTGTTGGACCGTTATGTTTGTTGATACACATGCGCGGCCCAAGGAGTACAGCTCTATAGAGGTGCGAGACAACATAGAAGCAGGTTTGTGGGATGGAGGCAGCATTGACATAAACCTGATTTCCGGACCGAGCTGCAGCCAATGCCTTGGCGACAACGACAACGTGGTCATTAACATAGATGAACCGTCACCTTGAAAGCTGCGAGATGAAATCATGAACCTGTCGCAACCAAAGGAGTATAAGTACCAATGCTTCCGGGGTATATCGAGCACCGAACGGGTTTTCTCCAACCTTTACCAAGGAACCCCTAAAGAACCGCAATACCTGCTGAGCCCATGGCTCTACCGCCCCGAAGCCAAACCAGCAGCGCCGGGCGCTCGACACCGCACAACCTCAATGTGCTCCAGCGACGATATCATGCAGCATTTTACAAGACGGTCGCCAAAGTGATGGCCCTGCGTGAAACGTACCTCCAAGAACGAATCATTTTCGTCAAAAGCAACGAAATGGTACCGATCCTCAAAGGTCTCGGTGCAAGAGACGAGGACTTCGAACTCATCCAGAAGATCAGCGACACCACCGGCCCCGATCCCACCTTTGAATACCGCACCGTGACCTCCGCGCGCTACTGTCTCGACGTCGAGACGCGATGCCTCCAGCGCCTCGAAAAGGTGCCCTGCGGCCCGCGGACAGAGGAGGCCTACAAGCGCTACGACCCGGGGGTCCAACGGGAGTTCGAGGAAGCACCGCTCGAGATGCAGGGGAACACGGTCGTCCAGGCGCTGATGCTCTTCAAGGCGCTGGTCTTCCACAAGGTCCCGATCCTGCCGCGCGAGAAGCTGGACTACACGTCGCATCAGTGGGTGTGCACCGTGCTCAACGTGCGCATCTTCACCGACGATCGCCAGGGGGTCCAGGGCGAGCCGGCGCCCGGAGGCGTCCACTCCGATGGGTCGGACCACACCATGACCGTGTTCCTGGGGTCGTCCAACATGCGCTCGGACAGCGCGGTCACCTACCTCCACGACAACCTGGAGACGACGGGGGCGCCGCTGTGGGAGACGAACCCGGCCCTGATCCGCGCGCGGGTGCAGCATCGCGACTTCCTCGACACGTTGATCTTCGCCGACCACCACTACAAGCGATGTGTCACGCAGCTGAATGCATGCGACCCGTCCGACCGGGCGTTGCGCGATATGTTGGTCGTCTTCACCCGGCGACCCAAGCGCGATGACCATGGGCTGGGTCACGCGGAGACTCAGGCGCTGCATACCACCTGTCCGCTGCAAATCCCCCTCTGGCTGCCATGAGCAGGTTCTGTGCATATTCCACCTTCCTCTAGTACCGGGAGCTGCGAGCTTGAGGTCCTCTGCTTTCCCCACCCATTGATCTTTCAACATTCCTATTCCTATACCACTATCCGCCATTGCAATAGCAACTGATATCCCTTCATGTTCCTTTTTATTATAAGTACGTGACTAGATCAATCCACATGACAGCGTCGTTATTTTTCTTTTGTCCAGGGGAACCATGTACCTCGAGCGTTGAGGGGTAGAGAGGCCCGACATCGCGCCTTGCATGAACCTTGCTCCAACAAGACACCGGATACACCGCCACATGCCTCGAGAGACCCCTTTCGGCTTTCAGAGCTCCTTACAACATCAAGCAAGGTTAAGGTCCTCAACCTTGTTGCGAAGGTGCCATTACATGGTCGTCACACTAGATTTGCTGCGCAGAAGGGTGATAAGAAGAGGTCAGCTGGTTATGGTTGCCTTGCCCACATGCGGGCTCTTTGCTATACCTCTTTCGTTGATGGCTTTCCCATTTCTAGAAAATCCTAGCCCTCGAGAGACGTCCTATATGGATGTCTGTGCGTCCATGGCTAATTCATTGATCACACTCTAAGATCGAATTGTGGGGATTAACTCAAGTTCTACAAAGATTCTAGCTCAAAGCCTGCGAGCCACATATATTGCTACTTGAGAGACTGATCGGCCGAATCAAGGATACGAGGGTCAATAGCTCCTTTCATTGCATGACCATCATAGGCAGTAGAGCCAGTCGCTTCCTCTACTTCACTTCCGTGTGTATCCTTCGATATCCAAAGCAGCTTCTAGACCAGACACTACTTCTCAAATCCCTGGCAAAATCAACTCAAGTGAAGCACAAATAGCATTCCGACCAAAACATACGAAACCCTTGAATAGGCAGACCCTGCGAATCGGAGAAGATTCCGTGCAGAGGCGGGGGTGCTGCAGCTTTATCCGAAGAGGTTGTATGCCCATCCACAACTCCAATTAAGTAGCTCGCATGCGATCTGAAGATACTTTTGTAGTATTGGTATACTGGTATACGCTTTGAACACAAGCAATGTTCACGGGTGTGTCTCCTTTATTAGGGAATGACTATTTTGTGAGAGAGAAAGACTATATCTGGTCGGAATCGATCCTGCAGTACTCAAGAATAGAATAGGGGTGACACGCTCAAGCCTCGGATCCGGCGATCAGGTACGGATGCCTCTCTCCAAGCTGGACCCCTGAATCAATACCAAGGGCTTACTTATTGCAATCTGTAACCGCACATATGTTCCATGATGCGGCAGAGACCGGAGTACAGCACCTATGCTAGAATGTCAGATCACTGTCTAGGGTAGGTACTTGTTGTGAGGTAATTGTACAGCCACGGTAGGTGGCGTATGCAGTACCTGCGTAACCTTATTGCTCCCGAGTCACTGACTCGTAGTGCCTAAGCGGGAGCAGTGAAGGACAAAGCTTAAATCAATCCATTTTAATAGTGCTGAGTCCGGTAGAGTTCCGAAACAGCTGGTGATCTGCATTGTCTGTTGCCCCAACAGAGGAAGTCTATGCACCTCATCCTAATCACTACTGCTTGAATCCCCATCCGAGTCCTTATCTGAGTCACTATCCTCACTCTCCTGTGCATCTGACGAACTACCATGAGTCGTGGAGTTCGCATCTCCATTCCCTGCGCCCTCCTCCTCGGGTTCCGCCACATACTCCTCCTGCGCTTCCGTCGACGAGAAGGCATGCCCATCGTGCGTCTTGTGCCTTGTGAGAAAACATTTGTAACAGAGGTCAAAGTCAAAGCAGACTTGGCATTTGTGGCGATATCCATAGAGACCCTGACAACAAAGCATTAGTCGGAATAACCGGGAAATGGGAAGCAGAGCAAAGCTGAAATGGGAACGATGAAAAGAAGGGGACTGAGCGTACCATGAAGCAGCCATCACAAGTACCACTGAACGA